TGGCACTTTTAATGCCAGATTCCACAAATTTGGCATATTTTAAATTAAACTGGCATGAGATAATGACCTGACATATTTTGTCATATTTGGGGTTTTCCTGGCTTTTCTTAACAAGATGTGCTCACATTTTCTTTATGGTTCCTCCGTGAGAAACACGCAAATTTACTAAAAGCAATGTAGACCTAAAATTAACATCTTTATTTCAGTTTGACTTTGTTGGGATGTCCTGGTACGGACTAACAGAGTTTCGCGCCATTTCTTATTGTATATTTGTTGTCTTCCTAAACGGATCGTGACTTCGATAAACCCACGTCCGGCTGTAAATCTGGAGCTGGCCGTGGATAAACCAAGGCCCTCTGTAATTTGTGTTATTCTACTAGAATGAATGTGGGATATAAAACCAGAACACACCACTGACACCAAGTGATTCAGACTGTTCAGAAACTACCCGAGGACAGAAAATAGAGAAGATATATACCTAGTTCTATCTGTTATAGATTTTATTACTTTTACCAATGGCACGTTATCCCCCCCCCCCCTTAAAAAAACCCCGAAAGCAACTTATTACATCGCAAGTATAATAATAAATGGAAGAAAACATACACAAGGCTCAAAAGATCTTCAGACTGATCAGAGGCAGCATATTTTAAACTGTGTCAGTGCACTGTTGCACCAAGAATTAGTAGCATTTCAAATCATGAAAAATTCGAAAAACACAGGATGTAAACTCTGCAAAAAACCCAGTTACAGCAACGACTTCTAGGCGAAGTAATGATGAAGTTAAAAGCAGCAGAGTTGCAACTTGCTGTAGGCATGACCTGCCATTGCGCAATACGCACAATTGACATCTAAGTGAAATCATGCAAGTGCATGGAGAGGGGAGTACATTGGAGCACACACAGTTGCATTGAACTTAATTTTCATGCCCATAAAAAATATTATATCGTCTGCACTTGAGGATGACCTTATTGATGATTTTCGGAACAAAAAATATGTCATCATTATAGACGAGTTGCAAAAACTTCATCCCATCTGAGAAAATGCTTAGAGATTTTACATCCGAAAACGTTTACACTGTTTCTTCCACTGGTTTCAGTTAGGATGACAGTGAAGAATTAAATCTAGAGCTTCTGATGTGAAGTGAGTACAGTACAATGTCATTTGTTTTTTATTTGGCATTTTCTGGCATATTTTGGGTAATGGTTTGGCATGAAATGAAGTTTTTGTTATCTGGCAACCCTGTCAGCTGACCAGCGATTGCTTACTTAGATTTAAGTTCATTGTTTGTACCGACCGTGTTTCTGTCTTTGGATGCCTTATCCTACTTACAAGTGAATGCGAAATCGTTAGAGGAATAACGTGTGTTTGTGATTTCCAAAAGATCAGACAAGCAAACTGAAGTGGAAGATTAAAAAAAAACAGAAGAGATATTATACCGATGCATGCTCAACATGCTGGGTCTCAAATGGTCAGTTCAGTATTATGTATTATTAGTATTACTATATCTCGCATTTGCTGTATTTAACTATTTAAATTAAATTAATTAATTAAGTACTCGAAGAAAATTAGTGGGCGCTTTTCCTGTCACTGATGCATGCATCATGACCAGTATTAATATATTATCGATCTTTTGACACTCGATGTGTGTCATTTTAGACCATTACGACCGTCTTATATAATTTCATGACAATTATTTTACTAGTCAGTCGTGTTTAAGGCGAGGCCTCGAAATGTGAGCTAAGTTGATATATGCCCTCACTGGTCTCGTTTCTTTCACAGGCCATCCCCCCAAAATACTCATGATTGTCGGTAACAATTAATGTGAGGACTGGTCCGCCCCAGAACCGCATTGATTCTCAGAGTATTGTCTTCCTTCTTTGTGCGAGGTTTTTTTCCTTTCTAGATCTAAATCATCTAAGATTTCCTGGCGTCCGTAAGGCATTTGTTTGTAAACAGATAAATGTACACTTTAGTATCAAGATTACAAAAATTACAGTTTGGGATGAATATCATGAAAATGTTACCCCGACAAATTAGTTTACTTTAAGGCTTTGTTATAAAATTGTAGACACATGTCGTGCTTTGGACACATGTATGTTTTGTTGTAGACAGGTGTTGTGCTGTAGATGCATATTATTTGTGTTATACATGACATGTATTATTATTGTAGATAATATTTTGATGTAGACACATTTGAGATGTAGTATGTAGACACATGTTGTGATGTACACACATGTTGTCTTGTGGGCACATGTATTGTAGATATAAATATTGTGATGTAGAAACATATTTTGGACACATGTTGTGCTGTAGGAAAGTTGGCACATGTTATGTTGTAGATACATATTTTGGACACATGTTGTGCTGTAAGGAAAGTTGGCACATGTTATGTTGTAGATACATATTGTGGACCATGTTGTTTTGCAGACACTTGCTCTGGACACATGTTTTGTTGTAGACACATGCAGGTGTGCCATCAGAAATAAAACATGAAGGTGGGCGTCCAACTCCAACCATATCACATAACCCCCCCCCCCCCCCCAAAAAAAAAAAAATTTTTAGTTAATAATTAGGGGTGGGTTGTTAGGCTCCCTCACCACCAGGCAGAAACTGGGTGGGAGCTCAGACCACTTCAGCACCCCCAACCAACACTCCCGAAAAAAAAAAGTAAGAAAAAACAAGCACGCCCCCTCAGCACTGTACAAAATTTCTTGGCAATTAATGGCACAGGGAGGAGTGTATACTGACCCAATAGTTTTGTAAGGGGGCCGAGATACTTTTTAGCTGTATGTATATTCTTCATTTTCTTCACATTCACCGGCTGAAAGTTCTGGCTGTTTGTTCTCTTCTGGACGTTAGTCTTTTTCTAGAACTTGAATTTTGCATGCACATTCCTTTCATAATTGTATGCAGACTGCTGGTTCCTTTCCTCACAAGCCAATGCATTTCAACGTGGAAAAAAAACCCTGATTAATTAACTCTTACCACGTGCTTGTAAACTCCAGCAGAAAGTTCTGATTCTTCATCCACCTCTAGACTTATCTTTTTCCAGAAACTGACTGTTGTGTGCACACCTGTTTAACAAATCTGACTGTCTGCATTCCTTTGGTTCCTTGCCTCTTAGACAGATGTGCTCTTGTCCTTGAGTGCTCTCACACTCAATATTTTTGTAAGAGGGCTATTTTTACATTGGCACCTTTCCGACTTTCCAGACGATAGTATTGTATTGCGCTATGAGGAGGCATGGGACGCACAGCCCGTGGTGATAGCGAGTGTGACTAGCAAGACCCGCCAGTGTCAAGAAAAGTCTTCCACAATGATAGCATGGGATTTCAGGACCATTGTTGTCAACATTTGTGTTTAATCTATTTCTTCTCAGACGCTCAGCTCTCATCTTTTCTGCAATCATTTCTTTCTTCCTTCTTCTTGTCCTTTCATTTCTTTTGTTTCCTCCTTGGTTTCAGCTCTTTCTAATTTGGTTAGGCGTATATCGTAGGAGAGCGAGCTTTCCAAAATAACGTCTTTTGGACCACCATTTATAGTTTACAATTTTGAGTATTTTACTTTGCCAAAAAGTACTGAAAAGTTTTTTTTAGGTTTGGATAGATCCGAAATGTGAAAATATTCCACATATGGCCATAGTGGTCTTATAGTTATCTTCCTGCAAAAAAAAAAAAACCATGTTAATCGTGTCATGGAGATGTGTGTGAAATGTTAGGTGAGGCCTCACAGTGATTCTATCCGTCATGTGTTATAGTGTGGTCCGATTGTGTTGGTTCAGGTTGGTAGCTAGCCTCCGGTGTATGTAAATACCAGATCCCTAAAATACCCAGCTCACGCTTAGAGATCCAAATGTTTAATCTGTTTCTTTTCAGATGCTCAGCTCTCATCTTTTCTGCCATCATTTCTTCCTTCACTCTCATTCCCTTCCTGATATGCTCTCTACACACAACATGGTCCATGGCATTTTGTTCCCATGAGTCCACCTCAGTACCTGTATCATTCATGACCCACTTGCACACATCTTTATACCGTAGTAGAGGTCGGCCTCGACATCTTCTACCCGTCTTTAATTTGCCATAAAAAAATGTCCTTAGGAACTGCCATCCTCCATTCTTCAGGTGTGACCCACCCACCATAGACTGAGCATTGAAAAGACTTGTAGTAACCGCTCTTTCCAGTACCTCGGTGTTTGTGATTTTGTCCTGCTACTTAATGCCAAGTATTCTTAGGCATCGCACGTGAAACCTATTTAGCCGTCTCTCCTGGTACAAATTTAGCCATCTCTCCTGGTGCAAATAGGTTGACCAAGTTTCACTGCCATAAAGCAGAGTGCTGAAAACACAAGCCTGATGGACAAGACCTTTTTTTGTTTTTATTGCTTTCTGTTCTCCAAAACTCTGTCAATCTACTCATTGTTGTTGCTGCCTCACCTATCCTGATGTTGATTTCTTGGTCCAGCGATAGTTTGTTATTCACTGTGGAACCCATATAGGTTAAATGGTCAACTACCTCAAGCTCTTCACGGTCAGTGTAGAGACTATAGGTCTGTCATTAACACCTTGCACCATAACCTTTGTCTTCTTTTTGCTGATTGTTAGTTCAAATTCACAGCATGCATCAGTTAATATCAGTGCTAATAGTGAGTGTCTATGTAAAAAAAAACTTGTTTATAAATATAAATAAATATGTAACAAATATGTATGTTTAAGGTAACGAAATCTCGCTGCAGGAGATGTTCATATTTTTTTGTATAAAAATCATACTTGGCCCCCAGCTTGCTCACTACTGATCACACAGAATCATCACATAACAAGACATGACATAACTCCCACATTGATGCCTCTGAACAATTCTCATATTTTCCCAGATAATGTCACGGTTGATCACACCTTTGACCACTAAAAACATTAAAAAAATAACACCTGTCTTGACAACCCCCAATTTTTCTAAACAAAGTCAAACATGATTACACCACTGATCACTCACAAAACTAACACCTAAGAAGTCCGCTTCACACCCTGACCTAACAATTCATCTTCACAGCCCTGACCTAACAATTCATCTTCACAGCCCTGACCTAACAATTCATCTTCACATCCCTGACCTAACAATTCATCTTCACATCCCTGATCCAACAATTCATCTTCACATTCCTGACCCAACAATTCATCTTCACACCCCTGACCTAACAATTCATCTTCACATCCCTGACCTAACAATTCATCTTCACATCCCTGACCTAACAATTCATCTTCACATCCCTGACCTAACAATTCATCTTCACACCCTTGACCAGTTTTCATATATAAAGTCATACATGACCAGTACTGACCACTAAAAAAAACCTAGCAATTCTCCTTGACACCCGACCAGTTTCGTAATTTCCTTTACAAAGTCGTACTTGATCACCACTACTGACTTTCATCTGATAAACCCAATATACTACCACTGCTGTACTGAGTATTTTACTCTTTGAAAAGTCGTGCCCTTGACCACTACTACTGACCCTGTTGACCATCATCTGAATATAATTTGCTGTCTCCATCAACTAAACTATTTAATACTCCTCGCTCTACAGCTTTTATAAATAACTTATATATTAGTGCAGCATTATATACCTCTGTGTTATCTCTTTTTTATATTTTACTATATAACATCTATAATTTTCTATCCCTTCAGACATGCCAATCAATACCCCATTTACTATATAAACAGTCATATCCCTACCTCCAGTTATATAATTTTTTTCTGTAGAAAATCTAGCACCATATGCTCCAGTAAATTACCCCCCCTCTATTAAATATGCAAAGCCTGAATTACTGCCCATTTTCATCCTTCCAGTCAAACAGTATCCATTTTTATATTGCCTCTTTGGACCATTGCACCAGGCAATATCAATTTTATGACCTCTTCCCCCCCCCCCCCCCTTCTGTATTCTATAGCAACAGGCAGATGCTAACCGATTTGCACACATACAACAAATTATTTGCTAGGCATCCTACATTACTCACATTATCACGCACTTCCAGTTATGTTGTGTTTGTATCAGCGCGCATAATTATATTCTGTGCCCTGCGCACTAGCTAAGTTGGTTAAACCAGTTGCGCAGCGACCGGGTAACAAAAACCTCGTGGTCCGAGTTCTCGCTCGGGGGTTGGCAGAAAAGCCTCATATTTACAGCTGAAGGGTTGCAATATTCATAGTACCCAGCCAGAGGGTTTACAACTCATGGTTTCTAAATAAAAAGAAATTTATCTTCTGTGATCTGTTCATTTGTTCACAGATAATTACAGTTCTCTGGACATAAAAGTCACAAGGCAGCCCTCGACCAGCCGACTGTTTAGAAGAGTATTCGGAATCCTATTCTCTGAAGGGTTTCCTGTAACTGCTGGTGTAACAACTGTGCGAAAACAGGATGGCCCTCTCTCATGGAACAGGGACGCCACCATCAGCAAGACACAGCACTAATGAAACTTCAGTGACAATATCAAGTTCTACAGCCAAATGTTATGTCTTTAGAGGACAGAAACTTGAGCTGCTCCAGAATAAACAATTCAAGAGATCCCAATCCCAACTTGAATACACACAAGCACGTAACAATGTCAGTTTTCAGTACTCACCGAGATCTGCCGCCTGCGTCTCTACGTCTGCTACCGACACAGCCAGACAAACTGCCCGGGCTACGCCAGTGTATGCACGGAATACAGCTTCATATCTTCATTTTGTAGAAACGAAACTGAAGCTGGCATCATCTAAAATAGATTTGTGTCGCCGTGAATTACATAGAACAATCAGTCTGTTGTGTGATAAAATTGATTCATATACTTATAATTTAGAGACCAGAGCTGTAACGATGCGGTTTAAAGGTATCACAGGTGATCAATTATTTAAACAGCTTCAGCTGCTGAATGCTAAGAAAAATGCATATAGTGAAGATTTAAAAAAAAGAATTGATCAGCTGCATGCTAAAAGAACTTCCTATCGTGGTGAAATAGTCAGACAGCTTGAACTGGTGAAGTCTAAATCTGGTCCGTTTGCTGAAAGATTGGGCGAGCGAATTCGGCTGCTGGAGTCTAAAATAGATTCATATAATTTTGAGTTAGAAGAGAAAGTAGCTAGTCTAGGTTGCCGGTATTCTTCATTTACCAACACGTTTGGTGAAGATTTTAGAAGCATAGACATCTAAACATGTATTAGTGCAAAGCTAATGACCTATCCATCGGTGTGCATCATTAATCCTGGGAACGTGGGGGGTCAGTCACAATTACTGGCCTTACCAAGTTCCTTGGGTAACAAAAAAAAAAGGGGTCGGGTGAGGATAATTTTTAAGAATAATTATAATTATGTTTTAATTAGCAATTAAATGTAATCTTCACGGGCTGTAAATACAGACTGAAACTTCTGGATTTCGGTTTTTTCCCATTACTTGAGTTTAGCATGCAGACTGTTGATTCCTTGCCTCTCAGACAGATGCACTACGGCTTCAAATGAATCCCATAAGTCAAAGACTCTTACGATGTAGTTTGTTGGGGGGGGGGGGGGGTAATCTTTGTCCCCTACACTGGGGTGTGAGCCCGCATGTTCCTTTGCCCTTGCTTCTGGGGACGTAAATTCTTCAGCAAAGTGATGTTATGAATAAAATTTTATATTTATCATTGTCTGATATGCGACATGCATTTTCACCTTATTTTATATGTACATCTGTTATGTTATTATTATACTTCTTACTAGATTAGATTTTGCCCTGATGGGTTCCAGTGCCTCATTTGGGAAAGAGTTAAGAATAGTAGTTAAGCTGTGTTAAGATTTAGATATCAGTGTGTATAATCGCTCGAAGATATTTGATTTCAGATAGTTAGAAGCAAACTTGTATAGTTGTTACATGGAGCTCTTAGCACTTGTTTGTGTGTGGACACGTGGATGGCTGTTAATGTAATGTTATCTGTGAAGTACATTAATTTTGTGTTCAGGAAAATAAACAGACGTGATTGTTATATTCATCTGCTTGATTCAAGATAGAACTTTTGGTTCGATAGCCACATGGTATATCTAGGTGTTGCCTGTGCAGTTAGATTGTTGTTGTGTAACACTATCATTCACATATTCATTGCCTGGGCATTTTATGGCAGAAGAAATGACCGTTCCCGCCCAGGTGATGTGATTATCTAAACAGATGGCTCTGTGCTGAGGGGCAGACAAAGAGCATGGAGGGGAGGGGGGTCATAGCAAAGTCAAATGGAGGTCACTCGGTGCAGCAAAGCCTGGCATATGATATCGTGTCTAGTTTGAGAGTGGAGGTGAAGGCAGTCTCTGCTGCCTTTCGCTGGTTTGAGAACCAGCTGTACATGCATAACGTGATTGTAACTGACTCACAGAGCATGTTTGGAAAGGTGAAGTCAGACATGCTTCGTGCAGAGTGGCAAGCATCCCTTCAGAGGTCCTGGGTAGCTAGCATCCTTTGAATATTTTCTCCAGGTTATGTCGGTGTGTTGAGAAATGAGCAGGCAGATTGACTGGCCGGCTCTATACCACTTGGTTGTGAATTGATGTATGACAAGCTAGATATTGTAAGGGCCCTTTGGGAATGAGTGAACAGTGCAGATGCGCAGACAGATCATTACAGTCTGAGGAGAATGGCGCTGCGAAGAGTTACCAGGAGATCTGGCCAACGCTTAACACTCAAAGGAAGGATGAGACAGATATACAATCAGACGGCTACTGGTGCCATCAGAATTGAAACTCGCCGCTTGCTGCTAAAGACGGAGATAGGAGCACTTATGGGAGTGTCCCGAGTGCTGTGATGTCGATTCTTAATTCAGTTATCCAGCAGTGGTCCTAACCTTCATCCATCAAGTACAGATGCGCGTGTTGGGTGACATCTTCTCGTGCCAGGAGGCAAGAAAATAGAGTTAACTCGCAAGCCAAAATAGGGATTGTCACGGGCCAGTGGCCCGAGCCCCAAGTTTAGAGAGATCAGTTACACAATACAAGTCATCAGCATACATTGCAGCTTTAACTCCATGGGGTAGTCCAGAAACTAGGTCGTTGATATAGTCTAGAAAGAGTGGGAGGGACAGGACACCACCTTGGGGAACACCTTGGCATAGCAAAACTTTCTTGCTGTCCGTCTATCTGTACAGTCGTTGCTAGGTCTAATTATTATGGCAAGTTTATCCCGGACGAGCTCCCAATGTAATGACTGCCCTTCTGTCTCCTTCACACTGGGATATCTCTGGTGCAGAGTTAACACTGGCTCTGATGTCTAGAGGGTCACAGCTCAATCAAAGCAGACATGATCTCTCTTCATGGTCACACGACTTCTAACAACGGTTGACACCAGCGGCACATTTCACGAGTTTATTATCACTGTAGCACAATACACGAATCACAGGAGAATCCACTTACAGCATTCGGACAATGGACGTTGACATATTCACGGCTGGCTTCAACAATCAAACAGGGTAACATAACAGTTGGCCTTCACGATCATTCATTCGACGCTTATTCAGATCCACATGCTCTCGTCATTCTCGATTCATCTTCACAGCTTCAGTTGCACTTCCTTCCAGTATGGGGCCCAGTCACAGAATCACCGCCTGATTCTCAATCCCCCAGATCTCACCATTCACACGTGACTCACTCTTTCCTGTCGTTTCACCATATCTCTGTGAAACCCATGCTCTCAGGGACTTCCCCAATTATGTCAGTCATCCCCTGACGTTATCCCTATTTATAGCATCATTACACTTGGGCTCTATTTCTTCATGATACCTTCTTATTTGTTTCCATACCTTATCAAAGGCTTTCTTCAGGTCTATCCGTGCCCCAAGCACCTTCTTTTCTTGGAAGGCATTCTTAATTTCTTGCAAAAGGAAAGTTGTCTGAAATTTTGTGGAGTAGCACTGTCTTAAGTCTTTCTGCTGCTGCTTGAAGATGTTTTGATTTTTGTATCATTTTTTGTATCATTTTGTATCATTGGAGTCTAAAGTTGACAGTGCATGCCATTGTTTTACAGATCAGCTGGTAAGGCTGATTGGTTGCTGGAGGCATCGTAAGTGTCCTTTCCTGGTTTAAGGAGAGGTATCGTGACTGCTTCTCTCCATATCTGGGGAACTGTGCCACTGGTCCAAAAATGATTAAAGATTTGTAGCTGCTTTGTTTTTGGCTGTTTCCCAAGGTTCTTGACCATGTTGTTGGTATTCCATCAATTCCAGGCGATTTTCCCATCTTCAGCTTTGATATTGCTAACTCTAGCTCGCTAGATGTAAGTGCTGGCACAAGTAACTCAGGAATTATATTACTTTGTCTTGTATGCTGCTGATTCTCTGAAGCCTCTTGCTGTTGTCTGGGCTGACATCAATGTGCTGTCTTTAGCAAATGAAGTGGTCAGCTGCCTGTTTATTTGTTAGGATGGCTCTTTCTTTGCATAGTGCAATATTTCTTTTTCTCCCTATACTCTCATCATTAATTTGTTTTACTAGCCTTCCACAACTTCGGTGTGTCTCTTTCAAAGTTTAGAGACTTTGCTTTTTTCCATTCAGCTTATCCATACATGATGATTATGAATACAGCAACTTTTCTAGCATTAGGGAACTGGTCCTATTGAATCTTTTCGGACTAAACCTTTATAGTACACCTTCCTGAATGTCTTCAGCACTCGAGGTGGACGCCACACTTCAAGAACACTCAGCCTGTGTACTATCTTTGCAGGCAAGCAGTGAAAAATTAAAATAAGTAAATGACCCTTTTCCACACCTTTAGGCGTATTTAAGAGACCAATCGGCACAAGATGGGTGATGTGGTCAGCATCACGTCGGTCGCTTTACTTCCCAGGATTGTACCACCCAAGGCTGGGTCAATCTGGGAGCCAAAGTCATTAAAAAAAAAAGTCTGGCCCAGGCAGGGAGCAAACCCACGACCTTCCGATCCGCAGTGAGCATCTAGCTGTTCCGCCAAGGCGACTCCCTAGGCAAGCAGTAGTTAACTTTATTTCTGTACAGTCACGTAAACAAACAAAAAATAATAAGTCAGAACTGTAAAACATTTTATTAAAAGAACAATAACAGACTTAGTTCCCATTTTAAAATAACATAAATATAATCAAAAATGCATAGATATGTCTTAGACATAAACATGATTAAATGCAACAGGAGTCCAACAATTTCATTGGTTTGTAAAATAAAAAGTGTAAAAGATGAATACATTTGTTTTCTTAGACACTTGGGAATGCAAATAGTTTTGAAATATAGCTTGTGACGTTTCACCACTGCCAAGAGAGGCTCCTGATGCCCCACAAATTTGTATTTTTTTTCTCTGACATATTTATTAGTTTTGTGTTCTAAATAACTAATTCGTAAAATATGTCTGTAGCATTTACATTTGAAAGCCTGAATCCTCTTTTCCATTTCCACAGCGAGAGTCCAACTCTCAGACCCCTATAAGAAAATAGACAACACCAGTGATTTGTAAATATTGACCTTGACTGCGATGCTGATTTTGTTCTTTCTCATCGTATTCAGTTGTGACATCGCAGCTGTTGCCATATCAAGAAAATATACACATACAGCACTTAGATAACAACATTTCAAATATGTCAGAACTTAACTGTGATAAACATAATAATCATGATTACACAGAACAGAATATATACTTGTATTTAGTGTATACGAAACATTTTAATAGAAAATGTAACTTAGTGTGGACACAAACAATGCATTGTACAATTTATTGCCTGGCATATTTCACTACATCTTGTCAGCTGCATTACTAGAGAGTTAAATCAACATATAATGAAGCACAAAATGAATCCTTTCTTGTTGAAATGCATAAATCAAATTTTTAAAATGTAAGTGTTTCAAAAACTGTTTTATATAAAAAGACGATGGACTTAGGTTGGCACGTGAAGTGACTCTGCAACATTATTTCAGCGTATGAGTATGGCCAACAAGAAACAGATTGTATAATAGTATATTCATAGCCACTATTGTGCTACAAGTGGAAAATATTTTAACAGGCTAACCTACATAAAAAAAACTTCAGTATGTAGTACATAGCAAATTTAAAACAAGAAAACTTTAGTGTATAGCACAGCAAATGTAAAACAAGAAAACTTTAGTGTATAGCACAGCAAATGTAAACCAAGAAAAACTAGAGTTTATAGTATGTAAAATGGGTTAAAGTAAAGAAAGTAAATACCATCATATTACTGTTGTGCCACTAGCGTTTAAAAAAAAGGGGGGGGGGGTGGGCTGCCCCCTTTTTTAACGCTAGTGGCACAACAGTAATATGATACAATAATCACATTTTTTATTCAGCAACTCCATGGGTGATGTGTCAGGTGACACATTCTAAAGAAAAAAGTACACTGAGTAACGATGGGACAGACTGGGTCTGCCTAAAAAAAAATGATACTGTCCTGGCCAAAACTTGACTTATCACAATCAACATCTCTGCGCAGTGGGCATCCCCATGCGTGCTCAGTCCTCAGATGCAGCAGCCACTCCAATGTACCTCTACTGATTGTTCACATGAGGAGTTGGTTATAGTATCTCATGTCTTTTACCTCGAAGACGATATAGACGTGCTTCACCAAGCTAAACTGCTCAGTCACACAGTTGTGTTAGCACCAGAGATTCACCATTATCCCCCAATCTAGCGTGTACAGCATTGATGACAACAGCCCTGTTCATGCTTTGGTGCATTACTTGCCAGCTGGTCAGCTCTTTCATTACCATCTACTCCTGCTTGCCCAGGTGTGTAGATCCAGATGATGGATGCTAAATGCGACTTCTGAATGCTTTCTACCCATTTAGAGCGTAGACTACCTGTAGTGATTTTCTGAAGCATGTTCATAGAGTCTGAAACGATTACGGCAAGTGTGGCTGCTTGTTCTGCTACCCATGTGAGTGCTCTGGAAGCAGTAGTTACCTTCATGGTCATGCTTGGCCTAGCTGAAAGGTAAGCACCGCTATCCTCTTTTATTGTTTTACCCATTATTTGTGCTGTGTATGCCCATGCTGATCTTCACCCGCACTTCACCGATCTATCCATGTAAATGATGTCTTTTGAATGCTGATCAATCAGTGCCCTAATCTTTGCGTCTACAGTAAGTAAAGGACCCTCTTCCACGCCTTTAGGCATATAGGGCTAGACCTATATTTGTATAGACCAATCTGCACAAGATGGGTGATGTGGCCAGCAGCATGCCGGCCGTCTTTACTTCCCGGGACTTCTCCCAGTACCCACTCAAGGTTGGGTCTACCTGGTAGCCATGGTCATTTTTGAAAAAAGTTTGGCTCTGCCAGAGAGCGAACCCACGACCTTCCCATCCGTGGTGAGCGTCTAGCCGCTCCGCCACAGCGACTCTCAGCGTCAGTGGCAGGTATTTAACTCCTGCAGTACCTCCCCTGTCTTATGACAACCTTAGACAAGTCATGCATGTCTACTGACAGATAACCAAACACTAAACAAAAGCAAATGTAGATATTAATGCATTTGTTCAGCCTAAGTCGAAAAACCGTAAACAATTCCACTCGACTAATGAATCAACTGTTTAATATCAACAGTTTTCAGAGCCCGAGCGGACTTTTTGTGGCAACTAATATGAACCAGTTTTAAATTAGTTCGAGTGAAAAGTAATTTGTATACTTCCTCGTGGTTCAGGGCTTTGGCTTTTGGCTTCTTCTTTGCCGCTTTTATTAAGGCAGGAATAATCTCCCTTGACTTCTCTATTCTGAAAAGGGCAAAACAAAGCAAGTTAGAAGAAAGCAATTTTATTAAATTTAAAATAAAGCAACTCTTCACGCTGGGAGGCAAGCCATGCTTCGAGTATAGTATAGTAAAAGTAAAGCACCCTTTACAGGCCAGTGGTCCATTAGGCCAATTATTTTTACTGACCAATCAGCCCTCGATGGGTGAGGTCAACATCCCACTGGCTGCCTAAACTTCCCAGGAAATAATCCGGTGTCAATTTTAGCCTGGGTCAACCTGAGAATCAAGGTCAATTTTTTTAAATCTGACTCAATGGGGACATAGTATTGCACATACATTTTCCCTTGATGAGCTCAAGGAGGATATAGTATCGCACATAATTTTTCCCTTGACGCGCTCAGTGGGGATATAGTATTGCACATAAATGTTTCCTTGACGCGCTCAGTGGGGATATAGTATTGCACATAAATGTTCCCTTGACGCGCTCAGTGGGGATATAGTATTGCACATAAATTTTCCCTTGACGAGCTCAGTGGGGATATAGTATTGCACATAAATTTTCCCTTGATGAGCTCAAGGAGGATATAGTAAAGGACAGGGAGATAGTCCAAGACTCACATCCATATGTTGGTGCAGGGAGGGAGATAGTCCAAGGCTAGCATCTGTATGTTGGTGCAGGGAGGGAGATAGTCCAAGGCTAGGAGGGAGATAGTCCAAGACTCACATCCATATGTTGGTGCAGGGAGGGAGATAGTCCAAGGCTAGCATCCGTATGTTGGTGCAGGGAGGGAGATAGTCCAAGGCTAGCATCCGTATGTTGGTGCATGCTCTCAAATTTTTAATTTTGATCTTCTTGCAGGGGTCTTACAGGTCACAAGACACAAAAACTAGCTGGGGTTCTGGCAGACGCTCAGAGGAAAGTCAAGACAGACATTTAATCAGACTGCTACTACTACCGTCAGAACTGTGCCTGTGCCGGCTGCTGAAGTTGGGGAGCGGAGCACTTAAAGGAATTTCCTGAGTGCAGTGATACGAGTTGTTTAACTCAACTCAACTCAAGACACAAAAACTCACATGTGATCTAGATTCCACAGTCCAAACAGCTGCCTGTAGCCTCTAGAAGCGTAAGGGTTAATGTTGTGAAACCTAGAACAGGTGCCCTCATCAAACGCTCCCTCACACGTGAACCATCCCTTTGTATCACACATCCGAAGTTTTGCCGCAGCCATCCGGTCAAAGTAGTAACCGTGGTAAGCATTTAAGGCTAACTTTGCAGACAGCTCTTCCAGGACCTGGCCGAGCAAGGCTCTTGTTTTTGGGTCCTCTTCCTTGGCAATCTGTTCCTTGGCCTAAAATGTGAGAGATTAAAACATACATAATGGATAATGCCACCAGCATAACATTTTTTTACATCAGGCAGAAGATGAAGAAGAGGCAGAGTAGGAAAACAACAAAGAAGAGAACAGAATACGGAGGAGGAGAAAGAATGGTAGCAGAAGAAGAAAGATGAATAGGTGCTGAACGAAAAGAAGGATGAGGAACAGCCGGAGGGGGAGGATGAGAAGGATAGAAAAAAAAAAATACTGTAATGAAGGGAATTTTCGAATGGGTTTCCTAACGACATTAATAAGCCAAAGATAGCACAAGTGGGGATGACATGAGATCACGATAACTCGCGAAAGCACGAGGTATTTGAACAGTGCTAGTGTGGCAGCACCCAGAATGAGAGTTTGAAGGACGAGACAAAGGTCTTGTCAGTTGGTGTTTCACAGCCAGAATGAAAAGTTGTGTTCGAGAGAAGCGTGAATGTATTATTGTATAATTGACAGCCTAACCAGAGTTTAATCAAGTCGGCACCCAACCTGACGGTGAAACATACATAACTGCCAGCTGTCAGAGATGCTTGTTCCGCACCTGTGTGTGTGACGTGAATATAACATCAATACTGCAAGGTAATGAGTGTGTACATATGATAGGTATGGTATAACTGCATCTCTCTGAATCTTTGACTATGCTAGATAGTAGCAGACAGTGACTGGATCAGGTTGTCTTTTGGATAAAATACATATTATGAACTGCGAGACTGTCTCTTCATTACCATCTGTGTGTGTAAACTTGTCATCTATGTGAGAAACATAACACCCTAGACAACAGCGAGCACACCGAAGACACCACTTTTCAAATATAAATGTAAATCATGAATCTTACACTGGTAAAGTAGCTCCGGATCCTTTGTTGAGCAGTATTCTTCATGACCTCTCCCTTTGTTTTGTATTTTTTGTTGACTCCTAGATGATAGTAGGCAAGAAGACAAAAGGAAAGGACAACATAATTAAGTGATCCATACAAATTTAGGAAAACAATATATATTTACATGTTTTTTAAAAGAAATTAACACAAAGTTCGGCAGTCACAGAACCTCACAGCCAGTGGTCCTATTTCGCCTTCTGCTGGTAGCCCTAGCTCCACCTCCAAGCAGTAGTCCTAAATCCACCTTCCGTTGGTAGTCCTAGCTCCCCCAACAAGTAGTAATCTGTAAATCCACCATCTGTTGGTAGTTCCAGCTCCACCACAAGCAGTCCTAAATCCACATTCTGGTGGTAGTCCTAGCTTCACCTTCAAGCAGTAATCCTAAATCCACATTCTTGTGGGAAGCCTTAACTCCATAAGGCTAATGGAGCTTCTTTGGTAGCACGTCTGCTTGTTGTTTGCATTCTGATTAAGATGACTGGGTCTACTTTTCATATGGTTAGATAACTCCTTTACTTTAGCAACCTCTTATGACATGGCATTCAGTTCTCTTTATGCCTAGTGGCACACAAGGCTTCAGAGAGGATTGTCCATGCTTTCCTGTCCTGTGCAATCTTAAGTGCAATTTTCCATGCCAGAGATGCATCAGTCAGTTCACTTTCCATCATTCATATCCATGTTTTCGGACTCTCCTTTTTTATCTTTCTCTCTAGTGACAGCCTTTTTGGCAAGTATATCAGGATTCATTCTCATGACGTGGCAAAGCCATTTCAATCTTTTCTTTGTCGTTATACTGTCTAGAGTTTCTTGGTTTGTGACTTGAAGTAGTTTATTGTATGACATGGCATATGACAGTTCAATATTCTGAGCCTCTCCTGAGGTTTTGTAGCATACAGCATTGGCCTAAGATACTTTAGCCCCCTGCCTGGTACTCTTGTCTGGCTTTGCCCAAATGAATAATATGAAATCAGCAAATATAAACAAGTATACTCCTTCTCCCCGTGTTATGGCCTATGCGACTTATGACCATCTGCATTTATGACCACACACACTAAATCAATAAAAATAGTAACCAAAGAAAGATTACTACACTGGTAGGGTTAAAAAAAAAAATCAAGGAAGTGATGCAATACAATACATATGTATTTTTCAATTTATCTACAATAATTATTAGTAAACATTGAATTTATGCATTTTACGCACATTTTTTAATAAAATTTTTTGGAATAAAAATAGTGTCGAAAAATATAAATTTGATTTATGACAAGCTAAATTTATGACAGGTTAGTCGGAATGGAACTCTGCTGTCTGTCGTCATCAGTGGCTTGGGAGTTGTGAACGCGCTTCGTTAATGTTGGGTTCGATCCCAGCTGCAGACGATTTGTCTTACGTTGGGTTTCGATAGTGGTACTGAGAGCTGATCACTCAGAAAGCAATGACAAACCAGTAAATGTAAAATTTGTCTAATATACTTTAGCCCCCTGCCTGGTACTCTTGTCTGGCTTCGCCCAAATGAATAATATGAAATTAGCAAACATAAACACGTATACTCTTTCTCCTCGAGTTATGGCCTATGCGACTTATGACCATCCGCACTTACGACCACACACAAAATCAATAAACATAGTAACCAGAAAAAATAACTACACTGGTAGGGTAAAAAAAAATATAGGGACTAATGCAATACAATACATATGTATTTTTAAATGTTTTTACAATAATTATAAGTAAACATTGAATTTATGCATTTTACACATAATTTTTAAAATTTCGTTGAATAAAAATAGTGTCGAAAAATATAAATTGGACTTACCCGTGTGGGATCCGGGGCCCCATTGTGGGGGAAAACAAGAATAGACCCACTGCCTACCAGAAAGCATGTCGTAAGAGTCGACTAATTGGTAGCTTCCTTTGAAGTCAGAGTGCATCTGCCTGAGAGTCTGCATTTATGTGAATCAGATCTGTAAAACTGATGCACACGCAACACTCAGGTTCTGGAGCAGGACTGCAGTCCAGGTGTGGACGAACAACCAGAACTTTCCGCCAGAGTGTACAGCTGGTGAACGCGAAGAAGAAGATAAATTCGACTCATGACAAGCTAATTTTATGACAGGTTAATCGAAATAGAACTCGGCCGTCTTTTGGCATTTGTGGCTCAGGAGTTGTGAACGAAGCTTCGTAATGCTGGGTTCGATCCCAGCTGCAGATGATTTGTCTTGCGTTGGTTTCGATAGTGGTACTGACAGCTAAACTAAAATTTGCCTAGAAAAACCACAACAGCCAAAAAAATGCTGGGGTTGGTTCTGCAACATCCTGTAAAAGGATTCGTAACTAACTTAACTATGACGTAAGTCCAGCAGACCCTGTATACGCACCTTCAAACCAATCCTCATGCTCGCATCGATCCTCTGCCTCTATATCAGTCTCCAGCATGTCTAAATACTGAGACAGGATGCTGACTTTTTCTGGAGCCAGGTCATCGGCCAGGAGTCCTCGGATCTGCTCTGCAATCTCTGCCTTCCTATCCATATCACACAGGCTGCTCAGAATTCTATAAATTTTCTCTCCAGCTGTGGGCGATACAGATCATGATTATGCAAAATACTGAATCTAGTAATTAATACACTGTCATGGGTTTAGGTCCTGGCAGAGCCCGACTTTAGAAAAGAAAAAAACACCTTGGTACCTGGTTGACCCAGCTTTAAATGGGTACGAGGTAAAGTCATGGGAAGTCATAGTGACCAGCATGATACTTACCTCATCACCCACTGAGTGCCAATTGATCTGTAAAATATTAGTTTAGCCCTATATGCTCCCAGGCCAACCCAATCTAAAACAGATAAAGGAAACATTCAAGAAAGTAAATCTAATCCACATAATACTGACCCTTTGACCCATGAATGCTGATAGGTCTTTAATTCTTTTGGAAGCAACGTGTCCACATCACTGCTAAGAATACGTGAATTGGGAGTAAATATCGGCACAGCCAAGCATGAGAAGCACACCACGCGAACATAAAGTCTTGTTAACCAACATAGGACTGGCACTATTAACCGCATGACGCTGATGAATATGTTGAGAAGGAAATCTGAGTGCCTGTGGATGTGTCCAGAGTGCTGTGAAGATAATCACGATAATCTTTGAAATAACTCATCCAACCCCACATGGTCCTAGCCAATGTCCGAGAGAGTTAAGAAAGGCAATACTAAACTCAAGGGTATACTACAGCCAGAGGGGCCAAATATACAACCCTTGCAGGAAACAAATAGGTTTTCAGAGTAAAAACATTCATAACATGTTCATTGGTACACTTGGTTAATACCGAGTCATGCACAGCGTGTTGTTTACGACAGAAAGAGTAAAAGATATAGGTTTAGCCAAAGTTTTTTTAATAAAGAATAGTGCTGGTACTCACCACAAACTATCTAAAAAGGTGCCGGTACTTATCTCAAATTTTCTATTACTATAGTGCTGAAAACAACTGTTCATAAAAAGGTGCCCGTACTGCACACTGTTGCACACCGCTAGTTTAAAAGCCCTGGGTTTAGTATCATATATCTAATATAAGGATGAAAAGGCAAGATGGACATATTAACTAAATGTTACTGGCACCATCAGAACTGGAACTTTTTGCTGGCTGCTAAAGATGAAGACAGAGCACCTATAGAAATGTCCTGAGTGCTGTGACGTCAGCTCTTGACTCTTCTCAACCAAACTCAACATTGTAGAAAATGGAACTATTATTTTATTTATTATTTTGGAAACTCACAAACCTCCCATCCATTTTTCTCCTTTCCGCAGAAAAACAAACACAGTCTGGGAGGGCAAAGTCTGCAAGAAATCATTTCCATCAACAAGGGTTCCATCATCTTCAAGAACCAGCGTCACATCTTCTTCTTTCGGAATCTGGAGAAAAAACAACAAACACAAAACCAGAAGAATAACTCCCACAGTATCCAGCAAGTCACTAAATTAGCTATTTCGTGTGTGTAATGAGTAACATAATTTAAGGGGAAACGAAGATGTCTTGAAAGAAACTGACACGAATTGAACTGACTGCCCACATCAAAAAGAGACAATCTACATTCTTTGGTCATGTGATGAGAAGGAGAAAACTGGAGTACATAGTGAGAGTAGGAAAGTTGGAGGAGAGGAGAGACAGAGGGAGACTGAGAGAGAAAATGCTAGACAGTCTGACATCATGGCATGGAGGATCATCAGTGTCAGAGTTGAATGAAAGTACATGAGACAGAAGGCCGTGGATAGATTTACTACCAACAATGACTTTAACTTAAGAAGAAGAAAAAGTATGTGTGTGCGGGGGCTTTTCACTTCAAGATTTCTGCCTGGAAGACTGATTGAAACAGGGTTTTCCTTATGTGACTTGTAGCTATGCTATAGCATTTCATTGTTCCACCTCTTCTCCCTCTTCTTCACCCACTTCCTCGTCTAATAATATACCTGACTCTGTTTCTTCGTCACCTGGCAGCTGTACTATTGCCACTTTTCCAGTGTGTTTATATCTCACTGTATTCTCTGCAGTGATAATAAATCTACTGCTGACTTGCTAGGTGTTTTGGCAACTTCACCAAGGTAAAGGTAGAGGGAAACAGACCGGCTGCCCTCTTAACAAGCATGTTATAGGAAGCAACTAATTCAAAGTTTGAGTGCACCTGCCTGAGAGGTGAGAAACCAATAGTCTGCATACAACTAAGCCAGATCTGTAAAATGGATGTGCATATAAAACTCAAGTTCTAGAAAAAGACCAATGCCCAAAAGTGGACAAACAACCAGAACTTTCCACAGAAGTTTACTGATGGTAAACATTAGGAAGGAGAAAAAGAAAAGGACTGAGTGTTCATCTTTCAGAATGAAATCCTGGAGAGGAAAACAAAACAAATAATAAGTTAACCAAGAGCTAATGCTAAATTTATAAAACACAATAATTTATGTTACTACTGAAAACATTTGACATTTTAGGTACCTGCAATCTTCTTTTTGCCATTCTGAATCACTTCATGGAAGTTTCTGGCCGTTATTCCAACTCGGTGTGTTTGTTTCACATCTTGCACCTTGTAAGCTTTGATATTACTAGAGATTAATGTTTTCAGTTTGTGTAACATTTCTCTGATGGATTCCTTCTTGCTTTCTCCTTTAAAAAATAAACCTTATAACGAAGGTATACAGTTCATCTGCTTTGAAATGCTTAATACAGAACTCTCCTGTGTAAAGTTACTGAAGTTTGCATAACTCACAAATTGACACAGCCGTGCATTGGCAGCCTTTAAACTTTCCTTAAGATACAGCTTTGGGAACAATTCTGCAGACTTCTCCATCTTTCTAGATGATTTTGAGAAATTAATATTTCATAAAGAAGGGTTTAAAACAATGACTTTACGGCAATGATTCTCTAAGTTATTAAAGCTATCACTCCCACTAATATACAATTGTATTATTGATTCTCCCACTCACACACAAATACTCAGTTATTTTTTGGTATGATATAAACTCTTTCACAACATCTAGCAGGAGAATGGAGGTGGGTAAATGCAGCTCTCCGGTGGCTAGAGAACAAGATACATACAGATGTCGTAATTGTAACAGACTCTGAAAGCATGCTGAGAAAGGTGAAGACAGGGATGCTTCGAGCAGAGTGGCAAGCTCCACTGGAAAGGTCATGGGTAGTGAGCATACTTCAGATCTTTTCTCCAGGCATGCCGGTGTAGTGGGTTATGAACAGGCAGACAGATTGGCTGGATCTGCATCACTGGGTGGTGAATTGATACATGACAAGGCAGATGTGGTCAAAGCCCTTTGGGAACAGAATCAGTAGAGAAACAAGATTATTATGGTCTGGAGAGAATGAGGCACCTCGGTGTAATTAGAGGGTCTGGCCGGCTCACTAAACTCACAGGAAAGGCAATATGGACATATAACCGGATTGTGACCAGTACTGTCAGTATTGGAACTTTGCGCTGGCTGCTGAAGATGAGAACGGAGCACACATGGGAATGCCCTGAGTGCTGTGATGTAAATTCTTGACTCAACTCAACTCTTTCCTGGTTGTTTATCTACTTCTGGACTCTAGTCCTTTTCCAGAACCTGAGTTTTGCATGCACATCCGTTTTACAGATTTGACTCATTTGTATGCAAACTGTTGATTCCTTGCCTCAGGCAGATACACTCCGACTTTAAAGGAAGCTCCAATTAGTTGACTTTTTGACATGATTTTGAGTAGGCAATGGGTCTATTATTGTTTTCCCCAAAATGGGACCACAAAACCCACACGGGGAGCAATGTATAATGTAACCAATGAGATGATCTTCCAGTTGGTTGAGCTGACATTGGAACTGACATAAAAGAACTCACAACATTCCCACAAGTGCTCTAACCCCTTTTCAGCAGCCAGTGCAGAATTCCAAAGGCACCAGTAGCAGTTTGATTAAATATATGTTTATTTTGCTTTTCTTCTGAGTATCAGCCAGATCCCCTGATCCTTCCAAGCTACACACTCTCTTCAGACCAGGATGAAAACAATAAACGTACGATAAGTTGCCTGTTAGAAAATGATTTAACTCTTTTGTAAATGTCAAATCTCACTTCTCTGAATCTCCTGAAAGACTTAGTTAGATTGTTGGTTAGTTAGTTGGGTTATCATCATTGCACTCTAAACATATCCACAGGTGCTCAGATTCACCCCTCAGTAGGAACCCCAGCATCAGGTGACTAATAGTAGCAGTTCGGCTCTCCTGTAAACTACGGCCGGTAGACAACAGTTGACGGCCAGTTAGTTGGAGTTCTGTCCCCTGGCTGCAGTGCAATTACGGAATGGAGAAGGCACGAATCAAAAAACAAAGTGAGGTCGAAATGCCTGGCAGAACCCGCGCTGCGACTCAAATTAGCGACCGCGTTCAATTACCGCTTCTTGCGATGCATTATGGAGTGGATTAGAGGGAAGGAAACAAGTGACATAATTACTGTGTGTTGGCGATAGACAGCGTGCAGTGCCCAACTGTCATACGGTTTGGCGGTTTGGGTTAGGAGTAGGGTTTGGGGTAGGGTTTGGGTTGCTAGGTTGAGTTTCTGCGAAGAGGAAATGCGGCGACACTAACCGCAACCCCTAACCTTATGATTATAGCAGGGCAGTGCACGCTGTCTATCGCCAACACACAGTAATTGTGTCAATTGTTTCATTCCCTCCTTTTCCACTGCGTAATTGCACTGTAGCCAAGGGACAGACCTCCAACTAATCGGCTGTCAACTGTTGTCTACCGGCCGTAGTTGACAGGAGAGCTCCCAAATCTATCAATCTGGCGAGTGATGTGGATTCACTGCCCCCAAATCCTCAACCCTTCCCATTTCTCTGAGGGCATTTATAATATCAACATGATCCATAGGTTTCACCATCGGTAGTGATTGCGGATCCAGCTAACCTATCAGCTCTTTTATTCCCATCTACGCCTGTGTCCCGGAACAGAAAAAAATGTGACTCTATGCACAGTAGACTTCTGTAATAATGCTGAAACAGACTAATCCTCCTATATATGTACAAGAGCGTGATCTTCTACTGTGTTTCCCTTAACTCTTTCAGTAATAAACAAGGGGCTATCCTCCGAATAACGGTCTCAAATTATCGTGGCAAAAATATACCCTGACAAAAAATATACCCTGACAGGGCCTCAGTCACATGTAAATTGCATACTTCCTAGTTTAGGCCCGCTCCACGCCGCGCGTAGCAGCCGTGGTAGATACTATTGGCGGTGGTGGTAATCCGCAATTTACATTTGACTGAGGCCCTGTTAGGGTATATTTTTAGCCACGAATAATTTGGGACCGTTATTTGGAGGATAGCCAAACAAGGCATTGCGTGTGATCTGCTATTGTCCATAAGTACAAATCAACTGCCTGCATACTTTAGAAATCCGGAAATTTATTCTGACATGTATGAAAATATGTGTTTTAAAAAGGTGTACATTTGCTGCCTTTGTGTAAGCAATGCACGAATGTTTTTCATTGTGGCGTCTGTAAAACAATCTAGGAACAAACGAGTTAAAAGGGTGGTTGCGTGCTGTGTTTTGGTTTACAGCTAAGCTGCAATATTTGCAACTTCTGGTCTGATATATATGATGTCAGCAAGCAGTTTTATTCAATTATATCCTCTTTTTGTCACTCTTGACACACAAGGCATCCAAATATAATCGCCTGTCTGTCGATCTTCTTTCTGCTAAAGCCAGTGAGTTCACACACCTTCATTTACTTGTACCTAGTCGAGCTGTTGACTTTCCCAATCGCCATTTCGCTAGTTGTCAGGCCAGTTTCACTTCTTTCCGAAGTTTTCACCATATCCTGTTTCCGTAACTAAGTATTTTATTTAAGTATTCATTCACAGTAACCACATACACCCAACCTGGAGAACCCTAGTCTGAACTCTGGTCTGACACTTTGTTCTTCAAACTGTCCAAGCAACCAACCCGATTAAACCTGCCAGGAGCACACATATCTTCCCCACTACCCATAGCTTTCAGACTCATTATAGCACACACAAAAATTGGTCAATATTTCTCAAACTCAAAACAAAGACTAACGAGCCAGGCGTCAACAATAAATAAATACAGTATAAAGAAACTGCATCTTGTTTAGTCAACAAAGGGCACACGACTCTCAGCGTCTCCCATCTCCACAACTTCCGCCCGCACCAATTTCAAACATTCTCAAGCAGACGACCCCAGTTGTAATGTTGATAAATATACACCGCCAGCAGTGTTAGTTGTACGCTTTGTTGAAAACTGACCAGATAAGTGCCTTCATTTGGAGGATTATGGATTCGTCGATGAATAACAGTTAGTAGTTTAGTTAATTGTTATGGTTACTAAGTTAATTATATTTCAGAATCGACAATTATATATATATTATTCATTTCAATTTTTTTCATTTTTTTTTTCTGCAATTTATTCATTCATTCATTTATTTTAAATTTAAGTCCAGTTTACGGCTTTTTTGTACCTTTTTTTTAAAACTTCAAGTTTGATTGTTAATTGAATTTTTATATCAGGATCAATCTGTAAAATATTAATAACAAATTAGGGTATTTAAAATGTGGGCTCCTAGCACATTTGGACGCAAGCTGGACGGCTTCGGTCGGCTTAGTGGGAGTTTTCTCCCTTGGCCTCACTCAAAACAAGTAACGGAAAAAGTCACGAATCAAACAAGACAGTGAGGTCGACATCAGGGCTGCCAATGCTTGGGTGTGTCCCCCAGATCTGGGTTTTTTTTTGACACTGCGGGGAAATCTGGTTTTTTTTTGGGTGTGTTTTGCCGATCTGTATGCTTTAATGACCGATAAATTTGCATGGTTAGGGGTAGGGTTAGGGGTAGGATTAGGGGTAGGGTTAGGTTTAGCATTAGATGTGACAATTTTGACGCCGTAGTTCCCTATAATCGCGCACAGTCACATACACACTCAAACAGTCGACGGACGGTGGATGCTACTGACACGGACAATTCGCCACCGATTGGGCACCAGCCGCCCGCTATTGGCGTCATATTTGGCAGAATTTCAGTGGCGCCACTCCCACAAGCATCAGATTGTCGGCCACTATTTCGACCTGCTACGTGAAAATTTTCACATCTAACCCTACCCCTAACCCTACCCCTAACCCTACGCAACCCTACACGCAATACGCAGCCCTACACGCAACCGTAGGATGATGATAGACACCCTGCGCAGCCCTACACGCAACCGTATGATGATAGGTTACCGTAGATGCAACCGTACGCAACCCTACACACACCCGGATGATGATAGGTAAGTATGTCATTTGATTCGTGACTTTTTCCGCTACTTGTTTTAAGTGCGGCCAAGGGAGAGAACTCCCACTAAGCCGACCGAAGCCGTCCCGCTTTTTACATTCAAGTGAGCACTGGCACTTTTAATTTTTAAATTAATTTTTCACTTAGCGTATTATCTCTTTCACACACACACACATAAGTGGAAAAATATTAAAAAAAAAAATTAATTCTTCTAAACCTACCATCTGTTTGTTTACTGATATATAGCCACTAACGCCATTTATTTATTGTAGCAGTATTCTAATATTTTTCCTCAACAATCCATGGTCACTTTGATGTATAATATGTGCATGTTGCACGGCAGTTGAATTAGTATAAGTAAAAGTAAAGGGCTATTTTCTAGGCCATTAGGCATATAGGGCTAGACCTATATTTGTTTAGACCAATTGACACAAGATGGGTGATGTGGTCAGCATCACGCTGTTTGATTAGTAAGGTCTGTTTTAATGTGTCCCACTTGTGAATTTTCAAAACTGCATTACCATCCCTTGGGCTTCTGATACCAAACCCCCTGGGACTCAGAGAGTTGAGTGATCTGGTCAGTTCATGCCAACCATCATTACTTTAGAACTAAATGAAAATGGTGTGAGCACAGAACATGCACCCCGTAGCTGTGGTCTGGAGAGATTGGTGCAGCAGGAAGTGACCAGGGGATCCGGCCACCAATCAAGACTTAGAGAAGAGACATGTTGTGGTCAGTATCACACTGGCCACTAGGCACATTTAGGCCTGGTCAGCCTGGGTTGTAAAACTATACTTCGTGAGAAGTTTACCCTGTCAACAAATGAAGTCGGATGTGTCGGCAGAAAGGCACAAATATCGCAGCTGTGCTGTAAACAGGCACAACGCAGTTATGTCATTCAGATGAATAAAAATAAGAACAAGAAAGTACAGTTTGTGTTATTTTGTTAGCAGATTGTTTCACCTTTGGCTTGGTTTAACAGGTGATGGTTGCAGCACTGAGTCTGACCAGGCTCTACCTCAAGAAGAAGCAGAGGCTACCCTGAAAACTGAGATTGAATCTCAACAAAGCACAAAGTTAAACAAAATAAAGAAAAGGCCCTTTGAGGTTTGCTCATTCTCATTTGTGTTGCTTGGCTTTTATACCCTGTATGCCATTTAGAGTAGTGGATAGGAATTGACACAGTGATGGGGTATTTGTATGTGGAACAACTTCCTTACAGTTTGCAACAATGTGTGTGTCTTCTTACTCTCTCCTATCTTTGAGACAGATGTTTGTGCTTCTTTACTCTCTCCTATGGGTCTCCATGGTTTAGTGGTCAAGCCGGTTGCCTTACGCTCTGAAGGTTGTGCGTTCAGTTCACAAGTGCAATTTTTACGGAGATCCCTGGGGATTGTTGCCAGAGCTATGGAGGTCGGGCTGTGTGCGATGCTCTCGACAGGCAGCTAATAGTTCTGTGGAGAGAGACTTAGCCAAATGGGATTAAACCCGGTGCAATGAAGTCGATCCTTTCATCTGTACTTTTACCTCTTTGTAAACTTGTCAGTTACTGGTTGGATATGGCAACAGATTTACCACCTGGCAGCCCTATCAATTTATTAGAAGATCAACAAGATGTTCTACAGAGTTTACAGTTCCCCCACATGGTCTCCGGGGGCCCCAGTTTGGGTGTAGTAGTTGGAGAAGGAAAAAACTGGAGTACATCCTGACACTAGAAAAGTTGAAGGAGAGGCAGAGGGAGACCGAGAGAAAAAGATGCTGGACAGTTTGACATCATGGCATGGAGGATCATTTGTTAAGGATGTTCCTTGAAAGTATATAAGACAGAAGGTTGTGGAGAGATATGACTACCAACGCCACACAGCATGGACTTTAAGAAGAACTTTGTGCCCTGATATTTCTTTTCAGGTGGTCTAACCATTTCATATGTTGTTCTTTAATTAATTGTATGTGTATTTTTCAGTCCTAGCCGTGTAATTTGTTTTATTTTTGTAAGTAAGTAGTCAGTTGACCATTTTCTGCGCCTTCGGGTTATTGGAATATAGGGCTAGACCTATATTTTATAGACCAATCGGCACTCTGTGGGTCACGTGCTCAAATCAAGCTGGCCACCTTTACTTCCCAGGACTGAGTGATACCCATTGAATGCTGGGTAATTTTTTGGGGAAAAGTCTTCATCAGGAACTGAACCCATGACCTTCCAATCCGCAGGTGGGCGTCTAGCCGCTACACCATGACAGCTCCCTTTCTTCAATAAAAAAGAAAACTGTTGTAAATTCAACTGAAGTTAACAAAAAAATAGTTGTGTATATATCCTTTACAGGGCATTGCAGAACCAATTCCAGCATATTTTTATGTTTGGTTGTATTGGTTTTGTTTTTTTAAATAGCCAAATTTACATCCAGTAGATTGCTAACTGCTTTGTGGAAAGTTGGCTCTTGATACGGCTGTTGAAACCAACGCAAGGCGGTTTGCTGGCAGAAGTGAAGTATATAAAAAAGATAGTTCTTTACAGCAGGGGTGCATAGTGCATATGGTGCCAGATTCACATTGTTTGTAGACCACTAATTGGCACGTGGTGTGTGAACAATAATTAGAACATAATTAAAATTATAATTTTCTTTTCTCAAAGATTATCTCTTTTTTTTTTTTAATTTGTTTACCCAGCTTTTATAAGCTTTTAATAATGTGCTTGCTCCTAATTAAATTAAGAGCTTTCCGTGTTGGGGGGAAACAAAATTGTATCCACTACCTCCCCAACAAGCATATCGACTAATTGGGGGCATTCTTCGATATCGGTGTACATCTGCCTGAGCAAAAAAGAACCAAGAGTCTGCATACATATAAGCCAGATAGGTAAAATGGATGTGCATGCAATGCTCAGGCTCTTAAACAAGACTCAAGTCCAGAGATGGACAAACACTTAGAACTTTTGGCCAGAGTTTACAGCTGGTGAAGAAGACATTTAAAGCAAGGCATTTGTGGAAAGAGTTTTATATTTGACAACTCATACTGATAGATTTTAAGTCTCTGCAAATGTTGTTCTGAAATTAAAAATCTTAGAAGAAAGATGTTACAGATGTGGGCTTCTCAACGTCCTTTTCTTACCTCAAAAAAAATCTGGCACCATGTGGGCAGCATGTCATGCTGTTTGTGTGAGAGTGACAGTATTTTCCTCTGTCTCTGAAGTATGCACGTTTTTTCCAGGGCCTCTTTCCGGATTCTGATGCATCGCCTAGGAAATTTCCAAGAAAAGAAAATGGCAAACGTAAGGCAAAATTACTTATTGTATGCATTTAAAGAATTTGCCAAATGTTTGTGCAAAACTAGGTACTTGAAGATCAGCTTAATAGCTTGTAGTACCAGTTCTGTAGTTTAGCACTTATACCAACATCCCACTTGTGTCCAGCTTCAGGTGGCAGAGCGTATTGGAGAGGATACTAGCCTTAGCCTAGGAAGAGGAAAAGTCCCCTGAAAACTTGAAATTGGGCTAGGGCAGACAGGCCCTTAACCTTCATGTCAGTTGGCCTAGAAGGGAAGCTCTGCATTTATGGAATCCTCCTTGGATGGTGGGTGTTTTTCTTCTCCCTTCTCTTGAGGGCTGACCAGCTTTGCTGGACAGGCCTGATATGGGGCAACACCTCTGACCTGGGAGACAAAGATGACCGGTCTTCAATGTCCCAAGACTCTAACCTGGTCAACAAATACCTGCAGAAGTCAGATGTGTCGGCCGATGGGTGCAAATATAAATTGTTGGGTTAGCTGTCAGGTAGGCTGCAACACAATATCCCCCGTTTTTTATGAGCTTCAGATTAAAGCGTTATGGAACACTACTATTGAGCACAGTGGAATATTATCATCTGGAAAGATGCAGACCAATTCTTTATTTAGTGACCTAGTATATGTGAAGTCCATAACTACACACCACTATATTTTGTTATAAAATTTGCGTTGTTATTCTGAACCAAGCAACTCATACATTACATTGTCACTCCATATATATCACAGTCTCATCATCATCATGTAGCAGGTCCTTTGCCGAACCTCGCTCTCATCACGGTCTGCCTGAAAGATACTCGGTCTCTCACCAGCTCTCCCCTCATGTACTTTTATACCCACAGACTAATCTAAAAATAAAAAACTCGAAATACTTCGGGCTGGCATCTCTTTTCCATAACACAAAGCCTAGGTAGTATTGTCGAGACCATTTGTTGCCCATGCAGCATGATCCCTTTCTTGGCCTGACTTGTTAACTCCAAAGGAAAGGTACCGGCAATATGTTTGGAACAACTTGCTGCAGAAGAAGAGCATTGCTTTGTGTCTCCTCCTGTTAGAGCTTCCTTCCTAGACCAGCTGCCAGTCAAGACTGAGGGCCTGGTCTGCTCTGCCATAACATGAAGTTTTCAGGTTGCATTTCCTCTTCCTTGGATAAGACTAGCATCCTCCTTATACACTCCCCTGTTTGAAGCCATGCTGTGTGCCAGAGTAATCCAGATTTTTATCTCTGTATCCTTCCTTTGCTCTTTTTTACTTACTCTTTTTTTCCCTTGAACAATATTGTGCGTGCGTACAAGCACATTTTTTGTGTCAGTTTACTATACATTGGTGTGTTTATCCATACAAGTGTGCGTTTATCCATACAAGTGTGCGCAAATCAAGCGCTGTTTATGCATGGCACAACCTTGAATAAAATACCTTGAGAAATCCTTGAAAACCTTAGGAAAAATTTGTGATTTTGACTCCAAACCCTGCTTGCAGTCAGCCAGACAACAAAGTTTTATTTCCACTCATAGTACATCCCAACATAAGTTTGACAGTTTACTTCTAATTTCTCACATCAGCTTAACTGTTTACTCTGTTGCCATGATTATTATTCTAACAGACTGGTTTTAAAAATGAAATAAAATCTTCATTTATATTTTGTGAAACTTGTTCTGTTGAACTTAACATTACAGTATAATTGTCCCCTTGGTCACAGAAAAAGTCTTGCTTTAGTAATGCAGAGGCTTAACAGCATGAAGAACCTATGGCACAGCAGCTGCGGGCGAGTGAGAGTAAACATGTTGACGTCATGCATCATTTCCATGGCAACTTATGGATGTGAGTCATTGACATTAAAGAAACCAATTAGAGCTTTTGAACTGAAATGTTACAGAAAAATTCTTAGACTACAGTGGACTAAGAAGAAGAAAAACACTGACATAGCTCATGTTCTGAACATCAAGGAGAACTGGCTCATAAACAGGAGATTCCTGTTCCGAAAGCTGTGGTATTTTGGTCATGGTAAATGTTATGGTGGCCTGGAGAGAAGGGAGCTAGAGGGTACAGTTTCTAGAAAACGAGGCAGAGACAGACCTCTGCAAAGATGGCTACAGGACATTGGCTATGAAAGCACATAGGGCTAGAGAATTCAGGTGTGTCGTGATGAGAGCAACATTAGGAAAAGGAATAGAAAAAGTTGCATAACATAGCGCCAAAATGTTCTTGAGCATATTTGCTTATCATATATAATTTTTCTTTATAAACAGATGATGGATCGTTGGCACCGATGGACTTGGAAGTACTTCGGGTATTGATTTTTCTGTTCCAATCTCCAGTTTCCTGACTTGTAAATATGTTAAAAAGGTTAAAGTCTAGAGATCAACTTCATTGCACCGGGTTTTATCCCATATGGCTCGGGTTTCCCCCCCAGAACGGTTAGCCGCCTGCTGATAGTGCTTCGCAGAGCACGAACTTCGTAGCTCCAGCGATGATCAACAGGGACCCCATAAAAGTTGCACTGGTAAAATGAAGGCCGCAGCTGTGGAGCAAATCCACGACCTTCAGAGCTGGAGGCAAGAGGCTTGACCACTTTGCCACGTAGACCCCTGAAGTAAATATGTTGATCACTGTCTCTCTTATCCTCAGAAGAGGGAAGTGCAACCTGAAAACTTAATGTTATGACAGGGCAGACCTGGGCCTTAGCCTTGGCTGGCAGCTGGTCTAGAAGGGGAGCTACAGCAACAGACTTTTCTCATCCGGCATCTTCTGCAGCATGCTGCAGGTCCAAACGTATTGATGTTACCTTTTCTTCAGAGTAAACAATGCATGCTGAGAGAGGAATCATACTGCATGGACAACAAATGGTCTCCACAATATTGCCTGTACTGTGATTCCGACTAATTTTCTATAGTACAGTATAACGCTAATCCTTTAGAAAGGTTCCATGCTTTTATTTCCCCTAGGAAAATGGTGTCAGTGCTCACCATAAGTGTCTAAAAAAGTGCATGTACCCAATACAAAGCGTCTATTCTAATAACATTCAAAAACATGATGCCCAAAAAGATGCCAGTGCTGCATAACACCAGGAGGAAAAAGCCACAGAAAGGTGCTAAAAAGGGGGGGACTAATTAAGGGTTTGCTGAAATCAGATGTGATGGGCCAAAGTTTGTAGATGTCGCAGCCTAGCTGTAAATCACACTACATCATGCCAGCTGCTTTGTTAAGTGTGAACACATAGCTATTTCAATGTGTGTGTTTGACAGGCGATATTAACCTAAAGAAATAACCCTGATTAAAAAGGCATGAATACATTAACTCCGAAGTGGCAATATGCACAATGGTAATTACCATTGAGGAAGCCAGATTTCTTGAGCATTTATGACTAAATGTAAAATGTAAGAGAGCATATTATGCTACGGAGGGAAATTAAAGAAACAAATTCACACACCAGGCATCTATTGGGGCCGAATGAGTTAAGATTAGATAAGTTAAATCAAAGTAGAGCCTTCAGTTTATAGATTTAAAAGTATGAATCAATACATGAATTTATACCTGTTGCAGAAAGGAACAGAGAGGCTTAGGGAATATCGATGCTGGTTATCAAAGAAACTGGAAGCTCCCAAATATGACCTGCAGATGGCAAAAAGTCTGCGGGTGAAAGAAGAGCTTATCGCTAGCCTGATGCTGAGGGTTACAGAGCTTGAGGACACCTCCAAATGTGAGTACCTTTATAGTAAAAGTAAAGATCCCTTTTCACGCCTTGGGCATATGGGAAGAGCGCCCATATTTTTATAGACCAATCGGCACTAGGTGGGTAATATGGTCAGCAGTACGCTGGGCGTCTTTACTTCCCAAGACATACATCCTGGTACCCATTTTAGGCTGGGTTGACCTGCGACGCCCCATACCATGATAAAAATCCACGCAGCCAACAGTGCTTTATATTTTACTTTATTTCTAGTAAGAAAGAAAATTCTGTTACCTTTGAAAAAAGATGTCTAAGAATGGTTCCAGGACTGACCTAAATAGATAAAATCGGGAATGAGGTCATAAGCTAAAAGGTCAACACAGAACCAATTCTAAATTTCATTCAAAGGTCGCAAATCAAATGATTTGTCCATTCTGCAGACCTGCCCACTCTACCTACAACTTCGAAAAGACACCTAGCCTCAAAAGCAAAGTGTGCAGAGCAAGCTATGGGGAACCATGCAGGACCTGCCACTGACATGTGAGTTCATATAGGCGACCCACTTGATGGTCAGATCTGAGCATATGAAACCAAACGCAAAGAAGAAGAAGAAATGATTTGCCCACTTAGAATGCTTTGTGGTGCTATACCAAAAGAAGGACCTAGAGCACGAGGTAGACCAAGAACAAAATGGAAAGATAACATCAGAGAAACTCTTCAACCGCACAATGTGTTTATGGTCGGGGCGGCCAGAGGAGAAGGAAACCAAACCATAATCTCTCTTGACACCCAAAGTGGTAAAAAAGGACACGATGAAGAGGAAGAAGACTTTTGGGAGCTTCAGTAGTGCAGTTGCTTAATACTTTGGATCTGCATTGACTCTGATAGTTTTTTTTTTTTTCTAGTTGGCCTTTGACTTTTAGGTCTGTCTAGCCTAAAATGGAGTTGATCCTCCTGACTTTAACTTGAATCGATTAAATCAGAATAAAGAACAGATCGACTGTCTTTTGACAAGTGTGTCATGAAATGTGACTAGTTAAGGCTTTTCTAGGCATTGGTTGCCACCTAGGTGTAAATCACATTTGCCAGCTGCCCTTATAAAAGGTAAATGCAGAAGAAAAAAGATTATAAGTAAATTTTATGATATGGTGGATGCATACATGTTTCTTATTATAATTTGCTGCATTTTTTATTTTCAATTGCCTAATTGCTAATCTAGATCTAGAGGGCTGCGTGTTCTCGAGGTAAGGTGTCCGCCTCGGGTGCTAGAGGTCCCGGATTCAAGCCCCAGTGAAAGCTGGGATTTTTTTCTGTTCACATGGACTTCTAATTTCCCCTGGTCTCTGGGTAGTGAAATGGACACCTGTGTGTATTGTCGCGCACGTAAAATATGCCTTGGCAGTTGGAAATTGAAAAGAGTAGCCTAGCAGAGCTGCTGGGGCAAAATTTGGAGTTAAAAATCTATCCAGAATGTTTCAGGATCCTTGCCGGTGCTAAGGAGCCCGTGCACTGTGCTGAGTTAGAAGTAGAACGGAGCACTAATGAGTTACTATCTGTGTGCCATTATGTTGATCCGTTGTTCAAACCTTAATCTAGATCTATTCTCTTTTACATTTGTATGATCATAGCCAACCGTGAGACAAGCATTTCTCAAAGCAGCAGTGATGTCCAGGTATCTTCTACACAGAAAATGCTGAACATTATTTCAAGATTACAGGAAGAAAATGAAACATTGAGTGCAGAGGTTCGAATTTCCTTCTGCTTTTGTGTGCCTAAGATGACTTTCTCTTGATCTATTGTTGACGTCTTTAATATATATATATATATATATTTATATATTTTAAATTGATTTATATTCTGACTTTTGATGCCATATTTGGTAAATTATCTATTTTCTTTGCACTCTTCAGTGCTATTTTTACTTAGCAGAATGATATTATCTGCTAAATCGAGATCCTCCAATTGTGTATTACCTACCTGTCGATGCCACTATATCCTAAACATTCTTCGGCATCTAGTCAAGAGGGTTGTGCGAAACATGAAAATCTAATGCTCTGGTGACGACCTCCGTTGATTTCTGAAATGCTGTTGGAGTCTAAAACTTAACCCAAGCCCTTCCCAATTGGGAAAATGAACCTGCAACCTTCAGAAAGCCAGGTATACAGCTTAGCCTTTTCACAGCAGAAACTCGTATTTAGTTCCTGTTTTAATCCATAATTTACTCTTTCGGTACCAGAAGATGTGGCAGCAGATCCCCAAAGGGACAAAAATTATGAATGCTATTTAGAGACTAAACACAGTAGTGGCCACATGGGTAGCCAGATTTCCGGAATATGGTTTGACCAAATGTAAAATGTTATGTAAGTAAAAACACATTACTCGTTGGCTAGGACTGACAAGGATTATTCACTCACACGTTATGCATTGTTTTAGCTGTCAGATTTGAAGTCAGACAGAGCAGCTGAGGAAAGAGAATTTCTGCTGAAGAAGAGGTCGGGAGACCTGTTTCAGTTTAAAGGCAAGGTAAGTAATTATACAGTTTTCAGCCTCCTTCATATGGCTCCGTCCTTATATATATTTTATAGATTCCCCCACCCACACTCCGTGATTAAAAAGGGGAGGCCAGCAACAACAACAAAATCCTAAGTGCTGTTAATGAGAACTTTGAGGAAAAAATTCTCATAAAAAAAAAGTTTCAAATAACATAAAAGAAACAGGTATTTTAGTGTCTAAATATCAGTGTGATGATTGACACTGTTTTGTCTTGATGATATCTGCTATTCTTGGTCTGACGTTTGATAAGGCACGAAGAAATAACGGAACTAATTGTTAGCACAACAGATTATTACAAGTAAAAGTGCACCTAATTTTAAAATTGCTTTATCCTCCCCGTAAACCTCTCCCCCAACCCCCTTCCAGATTGAAACCCACTGCATGTTGTGTTCAAATCTGTATCAAGGCACATTTTTATTCAAACATTAACTTGACTCAAAGGCCTGTCTCTTCACGTAGCATACTGGTCTCCACCTTTTTCAACATGCTCAGTTACAATTACAACATGTGTGTACAGCTGATGATTCTCAAGCCAGCGAAAGGCTGCAGATACTGCCTCCACCTCCATCCTCAAACTAGATGTTATGTCATATGCCAAGTTTATTGCACTAAGCGACATCCATTCGTTTTGCTAAGAACCCCCATGAGCTTTATTTGCATCTCAACACAGAGCCATCCGTATAGATCATCACATCTCCTGGGTGAGAATTATCATAAATCAATTGTTGAACTTCTGATTCTGCAGCTCCCGCTGGCCAGTCTCTGCACTCACAGCCCAGGAGAAACAAAACCCTACACAAGTCTGACTTTTGCTGGAACATTCCGACCCACACCTCTTCTTGCCCAATATTATCAAGCCTGCACACATGTTGTTAAAGGATAAAGATACTTATCTAACATTATCTTATATAAATATTTGTCTACTATTATTTAGGCTTTCAGATCATCCATCAAAATTTGCTTATTTTTTTGAGAAGAAAACCTTTAATGTTCATATAAAAAAGGTATTAGTAGTGTCTAAATATCAGTGTGATGATTGACACTGTTTTGTCTTGATGATATCTGCTATTCTTGGTCTGACGTTTGACAAGGCACGAAGAAATGACGGAACTAATTGTAAGTACAGCAGATTATTACAAGTAAATATGCACCTAATTTTAAAGTTGCTTCTCACTTCCTTTAAACTTCTTTGCCTCCCCCCGCCCCTTCCCCATTCCAGGTTGAAACCCCCTGTTAAACGCACTCTAGATTCTGCATGTTGTGTTCAAATCTGTATCAAGGCAAATTTTTATTAAAACATTAACTTGACTCAAATTCCTGTCTCTTCACGGAGCATACTGGTCTCCACCTCTCCACCTTTCTCAACATGCTCAGTTACAATTACAACATGTGTGTACAGCTGATTCTTAAGCCAGGGAAGGGCTGCAGATACTGCCTCCACCTCCATCCTCAAACTAGATGTTGTGTCATATGCCAAGTTTATTGCACTAAGCGACATCCATTCACTTTTGCTAAGAACCCCCATGAGCTTAATTTGCCTCTCAACACAGAGCCATCTGTATAGATCATCACATCTCCTGGGTGAGAATTATCATGAATCAATTGTTGAACTTCTGATTCTGCAGCGCCCGCTGGCCAGTCTTTGCACTCACGGCCCAGGAGAAACAAAACCCTACAAAAGTCTGACTTTTGCTGGGACATTCTGACACACACCTCTCCTCCCCCCAATATTGTCAAGCCTGCACACATGTTCTTAAAGGATATAGATACTTATCTAACATTATCTTATATAGATATATGTCTAATATTATTTAGGCTTTCAGATCATTCATCAAAATTTGCTTATTTTCCATTTCTTTGATTGTATATAAAACCTTAAATGTTCATATAAAAATTAATCATTAATGGATTCATCCTAATCATCATCATCATAAACCACTTCTGCCGTTAAGCGCTGTAGAGAGGAATAAGTTGTTGTCCTCTTGCTCTTGTAGCTGATCTGTGAGGTGTATAGTGCCTGTTATGGTATTTGATCTTGCTGTATTCTAACAAGATGGCTAAATCAATGCAGTTTCTACAAGGTGTTGTAGAGGCATATCACTAGATAGTGTTTACTTTGTTTTTATAATTCTAATGTTGCTGCTGGTATTCTAGAGTTCACTGCTTCTCACTTTATTTTAGTGAACTCATTTCTTTTTTGTCAGTCTTTTTTTTTTTTTTTTTAGCCCCTCCAGATTTGCATTCTGTAGGATGAACATCTCAAAGTTGAGAATCAAACAGTTATAAATCCCAGAAACCCTGTATAACCTTATAGTTATATAGCACAATTATATTGGGGCACCACAAACAAAAAGTCACAAAGTAACCTGCAGCCCAGCGTGGGTGGGTTTTTATGTCATCAGTATTTTCTATGTCTCTTCGGATAGCATTAGGGCCACTTCTTGAATGTGAAGACTATTTGTTGCTGTACAAAAGAGTTTTTTGAATACTGTGGGCCAAGTAAAGAAAAATACAAACATCCTACATGATGCTAACATAGAGGAGAATTGGCTCATAAACAGGATCCTGGCCCGAAAGCTTTTTGCTGGCTCACTTTATCTCATTTTTTTACCATAGTAAATAAAGGAAACAATGAATCATAACTTGTAACCTGTCATGCATGTCCTAAGAGACAACTTTGGACTACTGGCTTCTCACTCCCTTGAAAATTTTAGTTGAGGAATCAGTCAAACCATGAGAAAGTGTAAAGAAATTTTTTGCTTTACAGGAATATAACTTTCTAAGCCGTGATGGTCAAGAGCTATCAGATTTGAAACAGAAAGTTGTGGAGCAGGAGAAACTTATGAACGTAAGAAGAAAATACAATTCTTTCTACTTCTTCTTCTTCTTCTTCTTCTTCTTCTTCTTCTTCTTCTTCTTCTTCTTCTTCTTCTTCTTCTTCTTCTTCTTCTTCTTCTTCTTCTTCTTCTTCTTCTTCTTCTTCTTCTTCTTCTTCTACTTCTACTTCTTTTTCTTCTTCTTCTTCTTCTTTCATTTGCTTGAAATAGATTACATGTGCAATGTTGTCTTTAGTATGAACTTCATGTAAAGCTTGGCTTCAGCCGGTGTTTCTCTTGGCCAGACGTTTTGCCTTGATATGTTGTATTTGGGATAGTCTTGGAGGACGTGTTCTGTTTGTTGGCTCAGGTGATAATCCACATGTACACATGGTTGATTCACCAATCTCAAATTTTGTGTACATGTGGTTACGAACCCGACTGTGCCCTGCTCTAAGGCATAGAATAATGACTCGCTCTGGTCTGTCCATAATATGGTTATCAACTTGTGCCATCTTTGACATTATTTTTGGCATTAATTATTCTCTTCTTCTGATGATAGTTGACTGGTACATCAGGTCGTTCTTTATTTGCACCTTTCTTAGCTAGTTTATCAGCTCTCTCATTTCTGCTAACTTCACAGAGGGATAAAATATCTAATTGTTGTGTCGGTAGTTTCCAGTTGCTGGCCTAGTAAAGTCAAGGACCAGTTTTATACCAGTGGCTCATAAAAAGATAATGCTTGACTCATTCTGTTTTTAGACTTATCAGCACTCAGTGGGTGATGTGGTCAACATCACATTGGCCGCCTTTGCTTCACAGGACATTACCTGGTACCCATATGAATATATTATCTAAAAATTGCATTTAGGGGTGTTTTCCTTTGAAATAGCTTTTAAAAAGCCAAAAAGTGCCAAATTTCCCACAAAGCCTTAGTGATGGAGGTCAAGGCTTGAGTCTCACGGTTCATACTGGCTTTATGCCCGGGAGTCTGTATTCTATTTAGTGCTTCTTCTTCTTCTTCTTCTTCAGCATTGCGAGCATTTGAGGGTCATTGCTGCAGATATCACCCGCCTCCATTCATCTCTCTGGTTGGCCTTCTCTTTCCAATTGGTAACACCCTGTTTATGTTTATTGATCACCCCCGTTAAATATCTTTGTAGAGTTTGGGAGGGCAACGTCTCACCAGGTCAGACCCTTTTTTTTTTTTTTTTTTTAATAAAGCGTTACTGGGATGGCAGGAATAAAAGACATGTCATTCTAATAACAACCATCAGTAGGGAAAAGTTTGAGACGAGTGGCCTGGAGTTAGACAGCGATACAAGTGGGAGGATAACAGCAAGAGATGAGTGAGCTGTAGTCTGAGAGAGATACAACTGGAGCATATGGTGGACAGTATCTGAAATCTGTTGCCACCAATTTATTTAAAAAATGACCTCTCCCACCTTGTATAAACAAAAAGAAGATTTGATAAATTTAAATTTACCTTGGTAGTCTCATGGCTAATTTTGAATTTCTGAAGGAGAGATGTACAGTATGACTTAACAATGTGATTTGATATTTCAGTGGAAAGAATTCAGTTTTCATGCTTCTTTATATGTTGATGTAACTCTTTGGCACCTGACGAGACATCAAAATATACCAGGCAATAAATTGTGCAATGTATTGTTTGTCTGCATTATTTAAATTTATTATTTATTTTTGTTTAACCAGTGCTTGAAAGAGGAAAAAGACTCACTGATCAGACAATTGAGTGAAGCCAAAGGTAAATAAAGCCATATTTTTTTAAACAAAAATAAGGTGTGATAAATGTGAAATAACCATAGTAATCACATGACTAATCTTTGAATTGCTGGAAGAGAGATGTGCAGTGTAGCTTGACAGTGGGATTTGTATTTCAGTGGAATGGATTCATGTTGTGTAATGGACTTAGCGTATAAAGCATACATGGAAAGAGAAGAAGGACGTAGAGCACGAGGTAGACCAAGAACAAAATGGAAGGATAACATCAGAGAAACTCTACAACAGCACAATGTGCCTATGGTCGAGGCGGCCAGAAGAGCTAGAAACAGAGCCTTATATCTCCCTCGACACCCACAGCGGTAAAAGAGGTAGTGAAGAAGAGAAGAAGAAGAATGGGCTTAGGTTTGATTACTTTATCCTGTTTTTATAAAAAAGCCACAAAACCAACCAACCAACCAACCATGAAAAAAAGTTTACAAAGTAGAAAGTGGTTGTGGGGAGGGGTCTTCTAATATAAGAACGAGGACACAGTGTGCAAACAGTAAAGAAAGTCAGAATCACCAGCACACCTCCATTTACCTATTAAAATGTTAGAACTTTAAAGGATAAATTTGGATGAATTGCTTAAGGGCCTATGCTCCTTTGGGGGATAAAGAATTATACAGTTAATTAATCTAGTGCTGCAACATAATACATATGATAGTCGAAGTTAGAAATAATGTTAGTTCCCTTTTTGGCCACATCAGAAGAGATACACTGGAACATGTGACAAAGATTTCCAGCCAGTCAAGTTCCCCTAGCGGCGTCCGTGGCTTAGTCGTTGCGAGTCCGACTTGTAATTCCAGGGTAGCGCGATCAAAACCTACTGCTGGCTGCATAGATTTTTATCATGGTATGGGGCGTCGCAGGGAGACCCAGCCTAAAATGGGTACCATAATGTATGTCGTGGGGAAGTGAAGAGGGCCAGCGTAATGCTGACCACATTACCCACCTAGTGCCAATTGGACTGTAAAAATTTGGGTGCTCTTCCCATATGCCCAGTGGGCTTAAAGGCGTGAAAATAGATCTTTACAAAGTTCCCCTAGTTCTATTTTTGCAGTGTTTCTTTAGATTTCATTCTGTTTCTAGCCAGTCCAATTCCCCTAGTTTTATTTTACGTTGTGTTCATCTAATTTTTGATCCCTGTCCAGCCAGTCAGGTTCACCGTGTCATATTTTATATTCTGTTTATCTAGTTTTCATTCTTTTCCCAGCCAGTCAGATACAGGAGGCGAGGGGTCACCGCCAGAAAATCCATGATCTGGAGTTGAAGCTGATTGGTTCCGAGATGGAGTGTACGGACAAGGAGATAAAGTTTACCGAACACCTGGCCAACAATCCTGCGGTAAGACGCTGCACATAAATGTGTGAATATGATTTCTGTTATCTACATTATTCACCATGCTGTTTCAGGAGTAGGGTATTTTCTCTCCTCCTCCCCCCCCCCCCCCTAACAGTTTTCAAATGGTTCCTGTTATCTACAATATCTACTATGCTGTTTCAGGAGTAGGGTATTTTCTCCCCCAACAGTTTTCAAATGGTTCCTGTTATCTACATTATCCACTATGCTGTTTCAGGAGTAGAGTATTTTCTCCCTCAACAGTTTTCAAATGGTTCCTGTTATCTACATTATCCACTGTGGTGTTTCAGGAGTAGAGTATTTTCTCCCCCAAAAGTTTTCAAATGGTTTCTGTTATCTACAATATCCACTGTGCTGTTTTAGGAGTAGGGTATTTTCTCCCTCAACAGTTTTCAAATGGTTTCTGTTATCTACAATATCCACTGTGCTGTTTTAGGAGTAGAGTATTTTCTCCCTCAACAGTTTTCAAATGGTTCCTGTTATCTACATTATCCACTGTGGTGTTTCAGGAGTAGAGTATTTTCTCCCTCAAAAGTTTTCAAATGGTTTCTGTTATCTACAATATCCACTGTGCTGTTTTAGGAGTAGGGTATTTTCTCCCTCAACAGTTTTCAAATGGTTTCTGTTATCTACATTATCCACTGTGCTGTTTTAGGAGTAGGGTATTTTCTCCCTCAACAGTTTTCAAATGGTTTCTGTTATCTACAATATCCACTGTGCTGTTTCAGGAGTAGGGTATTTTCTTCCTCAACAGTTTTTAAATGGTGTCGCACAAGTAGGTATCAGATTCATTGGGCAGGAAAACAAGGGCACACCCCATGCCTCCCTAATGAGTATGTTGTAGGAGTAGACTAATTAGGGGATTCCTTCAAAGAGAGGCAAGGAATCAACAGGCTGCATACTGTAGGCCAGATCTGTAAAATGTGCAAAACTCTGGTGTTTCAAGGAAGCCAAAGTCTCAAAATAGGCAGTCAACCAGGACTTTCTTCCATGGTTTACAGCTGGTTAAAGCAAAAAACAACAACAACAAAGACATTCAAGGATTATAGAAATAGGTTTAATTTGGGGGAGGGGAGGGGCAGCTAATATCTAAGTAATGAGCTGAGTTGATATCAATATCTTAACATGGGGGGCATTCACTATCACTGTGTCCCCATCTTCAGCAGCCAGTACAGAATTTCAAAACAAAAAAGGGTGCCAGTTTGCAGTCTGAATCCCTGAATAATGAGTGTTGACCTGATTATCAGGTCACTTCCTGATTCGTCATGCTCTCCAGACAGTGATAATCTGTTGGCTCATCTGTGTGCTGCCAAAGGGCCATGACCATATTTGCCTTGTCATGCATCAGCGAACCATCAAGTGGGCCAGAACCAGCCAGTATGGTATCTATACACAGTTGCTCTTCCCATGTGGGTTCTGGGTCTCGGTTGGGTGGAAAAAGGGGGGGGGGGGAAGGAAGAGTATATCCTCTACCCCCATAACATGCAAGTCGTACAAGGTGACATATTCAGTCTTTCCTTCAGAGTAAGGGTGGATCTGCCTGAGAGACAAGGAACCAACAATCTGCATACAAATAAGCTAAATCTGTAAAAAGGGTGTGCATTAAAAACTCAAGTTCTGGAACAAGATCAAAGTCCAGAAGTGGATGAACAACCAGAACTTTCTGCAGGTGTTTACAGCTGGTAAACACGAGGAAGAAGAAGACAGTTTTTCAACTAAAGGATAGGCAGGTCAATGGATAGTAATCACACCAAGAGAGACACCATCATACTTTGTCTTGCAGGCAGTCTGGGGAACTGTCACAAGCTAGGAGTTTACAAATCAAAAACTAATATCTGTCAGAATTGAATGTACTGAGAAATTAAATTTAAGTTTGTTGCATATCCTTTACAGGACGTTGCAGAACCAACTCCAGTTTTTTTTGGGCTGTTGTGGTTTTTCTAGGCAAATTTACATCCAGTAGTTTGTCATTGCTTTCTGGACGGTCAGCTTCTCGATACCACTGTTGAAACCAATGCAAAGCTCGCAGCTGGGATCGAACCCGCCACCCTAACATTAGGCAGCACGTTTGCAACACCTAAGCCACAGATGCTGATGAGAAATCAAATGCACTGGAAAATTGAACACACTAAAAATCTGAACAGTGAGAATTTAAAGCACTGGGAACTTGAATGCACTGGAAAATTTCGAGCACTAGAATGCAGCCTTGACATAATGGCTCCATGTAAGCTTCTTTATGAAGGCTATATAAGAAAATACAGTAATTTTAATGTTTGGTTCTTCATAGATGATCATTGTGGAAAGTAAAGCTCCCAGGCAGTACATTAACGAGTCTCTGCTTCTTCTGCTGCGGCGTTTCTTCGGAGGCTTGCTGCTTCTTCTGTCTTCTTCTTTTCTTCTTCTTCTTCTCTTCTTATTCGTTGAGTCTCGTCGGCGGCGGGCTTATGCGGTCTGCTTTTCTTCGTCTGCTCGCGTCGTCTGTTCTGCTTCTCGTCGGCCTGTCGGCGTGCGGCTCGTCGCGTTTCTTCTTCCGTCTTGCTTCGGCGGCTGCTTTCTTCTTCTGCGTCTTCTTCTGGGTCTCTCGTCTTCGCTGCTGTCTGTACTTCTATTCTTCTTATTTCTTCTTATTCTTCGTTCTTAGTCTTTTCTCTTCTTCTCGCCTTCTTTTCTTGTCTCTTGGGCTTCTGGATTCTTCTTGCGGCGGTCTTCTTCTTCTGTTTCGGTGCTTCGGCTCGTATGTGCGCGGCGGCTTATTCTTCGGGGCTTCTTTTGCAGGCGGAGGCTGCTTCTGGTCTGGCTTCTTCTTCGTGCTTCTGCTTGCTGCGGCTTCTTCTTCTTCTGTCTCGTCTTACATGTATCTTCTTCTTCTTTCTTATTCTTCTTCGGCTGCTTCTTCTTCTTTCGTCGTTGCTTAGGCTCCTTCGTCTTCTGAGGCTCTTCTCTGCGTCTTCTTCGGCGTCTGTCGGCGGTCGGTCTTCTTCTTATTATCGGCGCTTCCGATTTCCTCTTCTTCTTTTCGTCTTCTAGTCTTCTTCTTCTTCTTCATCTTCTTCTTCGTCTTCTTCTTCTCTTCTGCTCTTCATTCATCTTCTTCGTCTTCTGCTTATTCGTCTTCTTGCTGCGTCTCTGTCTTCTTATTCTTCGTCTCTTCTTCTCTTCTTCTTTCTGCGTCTTCTTTTCTTCTTCCTTTTCTTCTTCTTCTCTCTTCTTTGCTTCGTTCTTCTTCTTCTTCGCGGCTGCTTCTTCGTCTGCTCTCTTTCTGCGTCGTCTTCTTCTCTTATTCTTCTTCTTCCTCCTCCTCCTCGGGAGGCTTCCTCTGCTCCTTCATCCTGGTCCTTCCGTCGGTCCTCCGCTTGCTTCTTCTCTTTGCTTGGTTCCTTCTTCTCTCTTCGCCGTCCTCCGTAGGCGTCTCCTTCTCCTCCGCATCTCTCTTCCTCCTTCTGCTCCTCCTTATTCTGCATCGGGCGCTGAGCTTCTGCTCCTCCTCGTCTTTCTCTCCCTCATCGCTTCCTCCGCATCACTTCTATCTGTTCCCCTTTCTTCTTCCGCTTCCTCCTGCGGATCCTTCCGTCCGCCTACTTCCTCTCACCTTCCTCTCCTCCCCTTCATCCTCCGCCCTGTGCTTCCGCTCTGCCTCTGCTTCCTCCTGCTTTCCTCCTTTCATCCTCATCCTTCTCCTTCCTTCCTTCCTCCTCCCTCCGTCCTGGTTCACTCGCTTCCGGCGGCTTCATCATGCTCCTCCTCCTGCTTCCTCCTCCTCGGCGCTCCTACGTCCTAATCATCGCTTACGTCTCCAGCACGGCTCATACGGCCGCCTCCTTAACTCCCTCATCCTGCGTCCCCCTCATCCTGCGCCTCCCTCCTCCTGCGCTCCCTACTTCTCCTCCATCCTCCTCCTCCCTTCCGCTATCTACCTCCTCCTCCTGCTCCTCCTCGTCATACTCCTCCTTCCTCCGCCCTCATGCGTCTCATGCTCCTTCCGCCTACTCGGCTGCCTCCGGGATGCCTCGGCTCTTCCTCCGTCGCTTCCTCCGTCCTCTTCCTCTTCGCCTTCCGCCGTCACTCATGCTTACTCCTCTTCCTCCTCCTCTTCTGAGGCCTCCGGCTTCGTTCGCTCGTCTACTCCTTCGGCGCGGCAGCGGGGAGGCGCGCCTACGGCGGCCTCCTCCTGCATCATCCTCCTTCCTCCTCAGTCTTACTCCTATCCTCCTATCCTCCTCATCCTGCGGCTGCCGACAGCTGCTGCTCCCTTCGGCGTAGCCGGCGGCGGGCCGCCTTCCTCCCTCCTACTGAGCCCTCATCCTTCGGCCGCCGCCGGCTTCAGTCCTGCACATCCTACCTTCCGAAGGGCGGCCTCAGCCGGAGTCGTCCTCCCTCCTCTCCTCCCTCCCTCCTCCCTCCCGGCAGCCTGCCCTCCCCTCACTCCCTCCTGCCTCCGACGGCGGACTCTCCCTCCTCTTTCAGCCGCTCCTCCTCCCAGCAGGCGGGCCTCCTCACCTCCTACTCACCGCCTGCCATCCCGCACGCCGGCGGGAACGCAGCCCTCCGGCTGCCGTCCGGAGCAAGACGAGGCAGACGAAGGAGGACGAAGCAACGGGCCGCCGCCTCCAGCCAGAAGCCGCTCGGACGAAGAAGAAGGAGCGCACCGTCCGGCAGACGAAACCGGCCGCATCACCGACGTTCCGCATCCGCCACCTGCAGAAGAAGAAGGAAGCGAAGCAAGACAAGAGACGGAAGAAGAAGGCAGGAAGAAGAATAGGAGGAAGACGGAGGAAGAAGCAGAAGGAGGACGAAGAGGAGAGGAAGATAAGGAGGGAGAAGAAGGAAGGAAGAGAAGGAGGAATAAGAGGAGGCAGAATGAAGGACGGACGGAAGAAGGAGGAAGAATGAAGGGAGGGAGCAGATTAGAAGGAGGACCGATAGAAATGAGGCAAAGAAGGAGGCAAAAGAGGAGGACGAAGAAAGAGAGGAAGAAGAAGGAGGAAAGGAATAAAAGAGGAAGAAGACCAGAGGAAGAAGATAAGGAGGAAGAAGAATGGGAGGAAGAAGTAAGGAGGAAGAAGGAACGGGAAGAGCGATCAATCCTACGAGGAAGAAGACCTCAGCATCAAGAAGACGGAGGACAGAAGGAAGGACGAAGAGGAGGAAGAAGAAGGAGTAAGGAATAAGGAGGAGAAAAGAAGGATAAGAAGAAGGAGGAAGAAGAAGGGATGAACGAAGAAGGGGGAGACTCCGGAGGAAGAAGAAGGAGTGAAGAAGAAGGAGGAAGAAGAAGGAAGGAGAAAAGAAGCAGGAAGCGGAGACGAGAAGAAGGAAGAAGAGAAAGAAGAAGGTAGAAGGAGGAAGAAGAAGAAGAAGAGAAGAAGAAAGAAAGGCAGAACGAAGAAGGAAGAGAGAAGGAAGAAGAAAGGAAGGCAGAAGAAGAAGGAAGAAGAAGGAAGGAAGAAGAAGAAGGAAGAGAGTAAGAACGGACGAAGAAAGAAGGAGAAGAAGAAGGAAGAAGAAGACAACGAGAAAGAGAGAAGAAGGGAAGAAGAAGAAGGAAGAATCTCCAAAAGGAGAACGGAAGAAGAGAAGAAGAGAAGGAAAAGAAGAAGGAAGAAGAAGAAGGAAGGAAGCAAGAAAGCAAGAAAGAAGGAAGGAAGAATAAGAAGGAGAAGGAATCAGAGGAAGACGGGGAAGAAGAAATGAAGAAAGAAGCAAGAATAGAAGAGAGCAAGAAAAGGAAGAAAGAAGTAAGGAAGAGGAAGGAATAAGAATCCTCCTCCTCCTCCTCCCCTCCTCCGATAAGAAGAAGAAGAAGGGAAGAAGGTAACCTCTCCCTGATCCTCCCTCTCTCCCTCCTAAGAAAGGGAAGAAAGTAAGAAGAAGAATAAGGAAGGACGGGAAGAAAAAAGGAAGAACGAAGAAGGAAGAAGCGAAGAAGGGAAGAAAGAAGAAGGAAGAAGATATGAAGAGAATGAAAAAGAAGGAAGAAGAAGGAGGAAGAAGGAAGAAGGAAGGACTCAGAAGGAGAAGAGAAGGAAGAAGGAAAGAAGGAAGAAGTAAGAAGGAAGAGAAGCTCCTCCGCGAATAAAGGGAAGAAGAAGAAGGAAGAAGTAAGACTCGGTAGAAAGAAGAAAGGAAGAAGAAGTAACGCCGTGAAGAAGAAGAGGAATCCTAAGGAGGAGTAAAGAAGGAGGAGAAGAGTGGAGGAAGAAGAAGGAGGAAGAGCTATGGGAGGAAGAAGAAGGATAGGAAGAAGAAGTCCCTCCTAAGAGGAAGTAAGAAGAAGAAGAAGAAGAAAGAAGAATAAAGAAAGGAAGAAGAAGAAGTAGTACTCCACGAAGAAGGGAGGAAGAAGAAGGAATAAGAAGTAAGAAGAAGTAAGAAGGACAGAAGAAGAGGAAGCGAAGAAGGAAGAAGGAAAGAGAGGAAGAAGAGGAAGGAAGAAAGAGAAGGAAGAAGAAGAAGGAAGAAAGAAGAAGGAGAAAGAGAAGGAAGAAAGAAAAGAACGGAAGAAATAAGGATAAGAAGAAAGAATACAGAATAAAGAAAGAAGAAGACGAAATAGAGAAGAAAAGAAGAAGCAGAAAGAGAAGAAGAAAGAAGAACGAAGAAAGCAGAAAAAGAAGAAGAAGATAGAAAGCAAGAAAGCAAGAACAGAAGAAGAACTCCAGACTCCTCCTCAAGAACAAGCAAAGAAGAAATAAGAAGAAGAAGGGAAAGAAGAGAGGGAAGAAGAAGAAAGAATAAGAAGAAAGCAAGAAGAAGAATGGACTCCTCGAAAGAAGGAGAAGAAGGAAGAAGAAGAAAGGTAGCAGAAAGAGAAGTTAAGAAGCAAGAAAGGAAAGAGAAGAGGAAGCAGAAGAAGGAGAATGAAGAAGGAATGACAGAAGAAGGAGCCGCTCCTCCTCCTCCCACCTCACTCCGTGTATCCTCCTCCCTGGAATCCCTCCTCCCTATGAATCCTCCTACCCTCCTCCTCGCTCCCTCCTCCTCCTCCCCCTCCTCCTCCTACTCCTCTCCTCCCTCCTCCTCAAAGAAGAATAACTCCTCCTCCTCCCTTCATACATGCCTCCTCTCCTCCTCCTCTCCTCCCTCCTCCCCTCCACCTCCTCCTCTCCCTCCTCCATCCTCCCTCCCTCAGACTTTCTTCCCTCCTTAATCCCTTCTCCTCACTCCTACTCAATCCTCCTCCCTCCTCTCCCTCCTCCTCCTCCTCCTTCTCCTCCTCAATTCATCCTCCTCCTCCCGCCTCTTCTGTCCTTCCTTCTTCTTCTTCATCTTCTTCTTCTTCTTCTACTTCTTTCTCCTCTGTGTTTGGTCTTAAAGGGAATTTGTCACATTGTGTTGTGTTATACAGCTAGGCTGCGATATTAGCACTTTTCAGTCCCCAACACGTCTGATTTTAGCAAACCCCTAATTAGTCACCTTTTATATGACACCTGTTAACAGGCGATTGGTCGGTTCTGTTCCCCCTAAAATGGGGACCCCTGATGCCCCACACTGGGGTATTGAACTATCAATATCATCATCATCATGTGCCCTGTCAACTGGCGTAGGCACGCATGCATCTCCACGAATAACGATCCCTGGTTGCCTGGAACAGCTCTCTTGTTGTTTTTCCTCTGTGCCATCGTTTCAGCCCATCCAACATCATCTCTCTTGGTCTGCCTCTACCCCCTTTTCCATTGATCTTTCCAGTTGTCACAGTGTTCTCCAATGTCTCTCTTCTCATTACGTGGTCAAAGAACAGTGTTTGTCTCTTTCTTATTGTTGCATATAGAGATCTACTTTCATTAGCTTCTTTCAAACAATCATTGTTAGTTACTCTGGCTGTCCAAGGTATTCGTAACATTCGTCTCAGAAACCACATCTCTGTTGCTTCCAAATTCTTCTTAATTTGTTCACTGACATTCCAAGATTCGCTTTCATACAGCAGAACAGCTTCTATTTAACATTATAGCACTCTCTTTTTGACATTAAATGAGAGCGATTTATTGCATAAGATATTTTTCATTTTCTGAAATGCAACTTTCGCTTGACCTATTCTGCTTTTAATCTCTGTCAGACATTTTCCATCTGATGATATGATTGTTCCCAGATATTTGAATTTATTGACTTGGTTAAGTCTTTTTCCTTCAATTGAGATATCACAATGTGGAGTTATCTTCTTTTTTGAAATAACCGTTACTTCCGTTTTCTCAATATTCAATGAAAATCTCTTTAATAGCCTTATTCTTTATTCCCCTTTTCTGGTGAGTGTGTCATACCTAAATATCAATTTTGACAGTCAACCTGTTTTTGGTATGCATTTATATGATGTTTATTTCCCCAAGGTCTGTGGCTTAGGCGTTGCGAGCACGCTTCGTAATGCCTGGGTGTCGGGTTCGATCTCAGCTGCAGATGGTTTGTCTTGCGTTGTCTTTCGACAGTGGTATCGAGAGCTGACCGTTCAGAGAACAGGGGCAAACTATTGAACGTAAAATTTGCCTAGAAAAAACCACAACAGCCCCAAAATGCTGGGGTTGGTTCTGTAATATCCTGTAAAGGATACACATGTAACCTTTACTTTCCCTAGACCAGTGGTTTTCAACCTGTTGAAACAAATTGTAAGGGGGGGGGGGGGTGTTTTAAATGAGTGCATTTGCACTTGTAATAATCCGTTATACTAAAAAAAATTGAGTATTCCTTTGTTCAGACCAAAAATAACAGATATCATCCTTCTTTAGTCAGTGTCCACATCTGACACTAAAAGCACAAGTTTGGTATGAAGACCGCATTTATAATCTGTTTTATATAGTTTACAATAACAATGACCAAATTTGTTGTTGCCTACCATAGATACAAGAGGCGATCAGGACAACTGATGAGAAAAATAAAGAACTGGTTGGTAAATACACTCATGAAATACAACTCAGGAAACAGTACCACAATCAGTTAGTGGAGTTGAAAGGTCAGTACTACATCATAATCATCCTTCATAGGCCATTAGACGTCACATAGGGCTCGCTTTCAATTCTCTACTCTGCTCTGTTGACATGCAACCTTCTTGATTTCTGACAAGAGTTCAGCCCAGCCTTTTTAGGTTCTCATAATAACTTTCTTCTTAGTGTCACCTTTGGATATCTTCTTTTTTTCTCAGAACTTTTGTTTCCCATTTTAGAGTTTGTTTTGTAATTCTTTGCTCATTTTGTCTTGGTGTGCCCAATATATTTTCACCTTCTTTGTCTTTCTGCAGTGATAGCAGGCATTTGTCCAGACATTTCTTTGATCTCACTTTTTTTTTTTTTAATTCCTCCTATTTTATGTTCATATTTTTCTGAGACATTTTTTTTTCAAATGCATTTAAATTTAGTCCTATTTCTTTAGTAGTTCTCCAACTTTTGTTGGCATGTGTTAGAATTGAATTAAACTTTAGAACTGAAGATTCATAGTTTGGTCTGAAAACTGTAAAACTTGGTATTATTAGGATATAGTAAACAGGGGGTGACCACAGTCGCGGTGATGACAAGAAGTACTAAATAGAACTTACAATGTGACTAGATTTTTGAGACGACGAAAAACAATTGTTTGACCTTGTTCAACCTATCCTTCTCTGCCTTGATTATAATTAAGGTCTTTCATATGTGTTGTTAGTTCTTGCTTACATTTGTAGCAGATAAGTTTTGCCTTCCGGTTAACCACCTGCCAGCCTTCTTGGCCAGAGTTTTTCACCAATGAGGTTTACAAGGTTTATAATTTCCTTGGTGTTTTTTCAGGTGTTGGTCTGGGATACAAAGGTACAGAACCACTTGCACCAGGACCAGAACTCATAGGGTCAAGACCTGTCTACACATCCTGGCATGTCAACCTAGAAACAGGTTTCATGGCCAACATATAGATATAATAGACATTTCCTTTGAAGTCAGGGTGCATCTGTCTGAGAGGCAGTGAACCAGCTGTCTCACACAAACAAGGCAGATCTGTAACTTGGATGTACATGCAGCACTCAGGTCCTGAAACAAAACCAAAGTCCAGAAGTTGATGAACAACCAGGATTTTTCTGGAACAGAGAAGAAGAAGGTGGTAATCTTGACAAGGACTGGTTTTTGAAAGGACAAATCAAAGGTTTCTTGCCGTCTGCTGGTTTGTCATCTATCTGGCCAGTTGTTTTCTAGTTTTTATAGGGGATTTGGGGGTGGGGGTTGCTACTTAGCAAGTCTTTTCCTTTTGTTAATCTTTTTATGTTTACAACTAACAGCACCAGGGGCATTCCCATAGGGGCTCCGTCCCCATCTTCAGCAGCCAGTGCAGAGTTCCGATACTAATGGCGCCAGTAGCATTCTGATTAAATGTCGGTCTTGCTTTTTCTCTGAGCCTCGAGCATCTGCCAGAACTCCTCGTCACTCCCCACTGCATCAATCACCAGACTGGTGATCCATCAGCTCCTCCAAACTGCACACGCTCTCCCACAAGGCACTAACCACAACTAACTTAGATATTACATTATAATTTTTTTTCATCAAGGAATATTGTTAGGAATTGCATCATCAGGATTTGGTACCTTTTCACAGGTAACATCCGTGTGTACTGCCGAGTGAGACCTTGCTTGCCTGAGGATGGGTTCACGGAGCCGGTCGTGAGCTTTGACCCCTTTGATGATGGGGTCATTATGGTCAACAGCAAGGGGAAGTGCCAGAAGTTTCACATGGACAAGGTTTTCAATATGAATGTCAGTCAGTCAGAGGTGAGGGTTCTGTTTTCCTGTTCTCTGTTTTATCTGTGTTTACATTTTTACTGTGGTAACACAAATTAGAAAATGACGCACAAAAAGACAGTCAGGTTTATATTGTAAAACTATGAGTCATAAGCTAAGTTTGAAGCTCCCTGTGTGGGTTCTATGGCCCACTGTGGGGAAAACAAGACTAGACCCACTGCCTGCTCAAAAGGATGTTGTAAGAGTTGACTAACTGGGAGCTTCAAGTCAGAGTGTATCTGCCTGAGAGGCAAGGAACCAACAATCTGCTTAAGTTAAGTAAGATCTGTTTAAATAGATGTGCACGCAACACTCAGATTCTGGAACAAATCTAAAGTCCAGAGATGAACAAACAACTAGAACTTTCCGCTGGAGTTTACAGCCGGCGAACACAAAAAAGGAAAGAGTTCAAAGCAATGTTTTTCTATTGTGAATTTTATCATGTTGTTGTTATTGATTCAGCGACGCATGAGCTTTCACCCTTTGGCCCAATGCCTTGTAGTGGAATTTACATGTTTTCACAAGCAGTTCTTTTCCCTCCGTAAAGGTGTTACACCTGTCTGGTCTTGGAGGGAGTAGCATTTTTCTAGTTTTGTTGACACTCAAAGAGATGATGGTCAACAGTTTTGCAGGGGTAGTTACATAGCTGGCACTCTGGGGAGTGTTGTGGCTTTATTCTCTTTAGGTTTCCATTGAGTGGAGTACGTTGTGTTCTGAGTCTGAAGATGTAATGAATTTTATCATGAGATTTGTTTGTTAGCGTCTTTGCATCTTTCTAGACTACAGAGGATTGTGCTAGAGGAAGACGTGACAAAAGCAACCTATGGCAGTGGGGAATAAGACTAGCAACACTTTGCTCACGCTGAGAGAAAACTTTCATAATTCGAGCACAGGATTTCAGGAAGGATCACTGCTAGGACAGCAAGCATTTAATGTGTTTCTTCTTAAGGTGAAGATTGGCGAACTTGTGGGTATTCCTGGCGTGCTGTGAAGAAGATCTTGTAATGAACAGCAAACATGACAAAATATTTTAAATATGGCCATGCTGTTTGACGTTTTAACCAATTGAAACAAATAAGAATAAGAATTTTCCCGTCTGAGTTCCAGGGCCCCATTATGGGGAAAACAAGATAAGTCCCACTGCCTCCCCAACAAGCAGGTTGTAAGAGTTGACTAACTGGGAGCCTCCTTCAAAGTCGGGGTGCGCCTGCCCGAGAGGCAAGGAACCATCAGTCTGCCTGAAAATGAGTAAGACCTGTAAAATGTATGTTCATGCAACACTCAGTTTCTGGAACAGGACTAGAGACCAGAAATGGATGAACATCCAGAGCTTTCCACCGGAGTTTATAGCCGATGAACACGAAGAAGAAGAAGAAGAAGATTTAAATTGTATTTTTTTTTTCTAAACAGGTATTTGGGGAAGTTTCGGCACTGGTGCGCTCAGCCATTGACGGTTTCAATGTGTGCATCTTTGCGTATGGACAGACAGGTTCAGGAAAAACTCACACAATGGAGGTAAAACTGTAATTTTTTAAACATTGTTTGCTAATAGTCATGTAGCTCCACAGTCGACCCAGCCTAAAATGCCTGGGAAGTAAAGGTGGCAGGCAAAATGTTAATCACATTACCCTATTAGTTGTGATTTCTTCGTGAAACATGAGTTGAGCATCATATGCTAGTGTACCACTAGCGTAGAAAGTGCCCTTTCTTTTAAAAAAATATAGTTTTTTTCTTTCTTTCTTAACAAACATAGCGGTCTAATGTTGAACAAACATGTCCCACTTTGAAATATGGAGTCACATGCCGTAGTGTCAAGATGCTCGCCTTCGGATCCAAAGGTCATGAGTTCAAACCCGAACGATGTTGGACTTTTCCCAAAATGACCTTGGTTCCCAGGTAAAATTCCGTTAAGGTCGAGGTGGTCGACATGATGCTGACCACATCAACCACCAAGTGCCGATTGGTCTATCAAATACCGGTCTAGCCCTATATGCCCAGTACGCCTGGTGATGTGAACAAGTTTCCTTTACTGTAAGGCAGCAATCCGACCAATAATTATTTTATGTGCTGTCTTCTTTTTCTTAGCATTCACAGACTTAAAACTCCAGCAAAAGTTCTGGTAGTTCATCAGTTTCTGGGTTTTGATCTTGTTCGAGAACTTGATATTTACATGCACATCCATTTTACATATATGGCTTATTTATTGACAGACTGTTGGTTGCTTGCCTCTCAGGCAGATGCACCCTGACTTCGGAGTAAAGACCCCTAAATAGTCCCCTTTTAGGACATGCTTGTTAGAGGGGCCATGGGTCTGTTCTGCCTGTCCCCACCTCTCTAGCAGTCACTCTTTTATGTTGAACGAAACATTCTTCGCTTGCTGCTGAAGAGGGGGTCGGAGCGCTTATGGGAGTGTTCCGGGTGCTGTGATATCGATTCTTAATTTAACACTTAATATTTTGTGTGTCTCTTTCTAATGTGCATGTCAAACATACCTCTGGCTTCATTGTTTTGTTTTTCTCTTTATCCAGTTATCACAGAGTTTTAATTCTTCTCTTATTCTCTTTTTTGATACCTGAGGTTTCCACCCTAAGGCATACCTTATGCCTTCTTGCTGTTTTTTGAGCATATATCTAACGCTATTAATCACGTCATTCCCTTGTGGGATGCTATTTTGAAGCCCCATCCTGGCTTTTGCCAGGGGCCCTAAATATAGTCGGGCCTGAAATATGGCCTAACAGCTAAATGGGGTTTCCGGGACCTCTTCATGGGTTATCCTCATCTGCATGGTGACACTTTGTGTCACCCGGTGTTTATCGCTTGTGTGATGTCCTGGTAGGGTACAATTACCAACCAACCTAAGCATATATCAGCCCAACACCAGTTTTGTTCACCTTTGCTTCCATTTAATTCTGTGTTCATTTTATAATGCGCGGTTCTTTTATAGATGCAGAAAATTTGGCAGCAGAATACGTTGCGCTGATTTTTCAAGGGAACAGACAGTTTGATAGAGAGTTGACCGTTCATACAGAAAGCAATGGCAAACACAAGATTTAAAGTTGCTTAATAAAGCCTTTTAGGGCTCACTTGCGTTGTCCTGAAAAAAAGTATAAGCAGCTAACTTTGTTATGTTTATGAAAAACAAAAACAAAACAAAAGACCCACTGCCTTCCCAACAGGCATGTCGTGAGAGTCGACTAATTGGGAGCTTCCTTCTATATCGTACATCTGCCTGACAGGCAAAAAACCAAAAGTCCATACACATAATTCAGATTTGTAAAACAGATGTGCATGCGTAACTCAGTTTTTTTGGGAACAAGTCTAAAGTTCAGAGGTGGTTGAAAAACCAGAACTTTACTCCGGAGTTTACAGCCGGTGAATACGAAAAAGACTGCAGAGGAAGCAGTTTGCATTTGATGGTGCACTGAAGTGTTGGTGTACAAGCAAGTAAAAAAAAAAAAAAGAACCTGTAATAGGGTGACATACCAGGACATACATTAAAAAAAGGAGAGCACAAGGTAAACCAAAAATGCAATGGAAAAATAACATAGGTATAATTCTACAAAAGGGCTATTCAACTAAATTTACTCAGGGGCCAATATTTAGGAAATAGGGATGGTCACAGGCCAGATGCTCAGTCCCAGCATAGAAAGAGTATTAATGCAATACAACTGGCGGGGGATGTGCGGGCCACTTGTTAAGCCTTCGCGGGTCAATTTTTAGCCCGGGGCTGCCAGTTGAATAGCCCTGCTCTACAACAATATGATATGGCTGAAGCAAGAACACAATGCAGTAAATGAGGAAGTAAAGAAGAATGTGACTCAGTTGACCTTTTACACTCCTGACCTAACCTTAGCACAAACCTCTCCGACCCTGATAGTATGGATAATTTTAAGATTGGTTACACTCTCCAGGGGGTTTCCCATGATCCTGGTGTGAACCAAAGAGCGCTGCGGCTCTTGTATGAGGAGACCAAGACATCAGGCTGGCAGTACAGCATTGAAACCAGCATGCTAGAGATTTACAATGAGTCTCTGAGGTATGCAGATGATCCTTCTTCATCCTTGGCTTCTTTCTTCTTCTGCTGCTGCAGCTATTGCTTCTTCTTTTTCTTCTCCTCCTCCTCCCCTTCCCTTCCTTCTCCCTCTTCTTCTCCTTCTCCGGGTGCTACTACTACCTCCACTAATTCCACTTCCTCTCCTCCTCCTCTTCTTCATCTTCATCTCCCAGTGGAAAATGGACCCTCAACTAACATTTGTCAATCCCTTTGACTTTAGCATGTTAACTTTTTGATGAGGTAGGCAGACTTACCCCAACTTTCCCGTCGTCCCTTTTTACATCATGCTAGGTAAATGTTACTGATCTGTAAAATATTGGCAAATTTTCTTAAATTATGAATATTCTTTCTTTGTGTGGGGGAGAGAAAGTAGACTGTTGCTGTGAGGTTTCTTTGTGTGGGGGAGAGAAAGTAGACTGTTGCTGTGAGGTTTATTTGTGTGTGTGTGTGGGGGGGGGGGGGGAGAAGTAGACTGTTGCTGTGAGTTTCTTTGTGTGTGTGTGGGGGGGGGGAGAAAGTAGACTGTTGCTGTGAGGTTTTTCTTTGTGTGTGGGGGGGGGGGGGGAGAGTAGACTGTTGCTGTGAGGTTTCTTTGTGGGGGGGGGGAGGGGAAAGAGAAAATAGACTGTTGCTGTGAGGTTTCTTTGTGTGGGGGAGAGAAAGTAGACTGTTGCAGTAAGGTTTCTTTGTGTGGGGGAGAGAAAGTAGACTGTTGCTGTGAGGTCTCTTTGTGTGGGGGAGAGAAAGTAAACTGTTGCAGTAAGGGTTCTTGTGTGGGGGAGAGAAAGTAGACTGTTGCTGTGAGGTCTCTTTGTGTGGGGGGAGAGAAAGTAGACTGTTGCTGTGAGGTTTCTTTGTGTGGGGGAGAGAAAGTAAACTGTTGCAGTAAGGTTTCCTTGTGTGGGCGAGAGAAAGTAGACTGTTGCTGTGAGGTTTCTTTGTGTGGGGGAAAGAAAGTAAACTGTTGCAGTAAGGTTTCTTTGTGTGGGGGAGAGAAAGTAGACTGTTGCTGAGTTTTTTTGTGGGGGAGAGAAAGTAGACTGTTACAGTGAGGTTTCTTTGTGGGGGGGGGGAGAAAGTAGACTGTTGCTGTGAGGTTTCTTTGTGTGTGTGGGGGGGGGGAGAGTAGACTGTTGCTGTGAGGTTTCTTTGTGGGGGGGGGGGAGAGAAAGTAGACTGTTGCTGTGAGGTTTCTTTGTGTGGGGGAGAGAAAGTAGACTGTTGCAGTGAGGTTTCTTTGTGTGGGGGAGAGAAAGTAGACTGTTGCTGTGAGGTTTATTTATGTGGGGGGGGGGGGAGTAGACTGTTGCTGTGAGGTTTCTTTGTGTGTGGGGGAGACACAAGTAGACTGTTGCTGTGAGGTTTATTTGTGTGTGGGGGGGGGGGGGAGAGAAAGTAGACTGTTGCTGTGAGGTTTATTTGTGTGTGTGGGGGGGGGGAGAGAAAGTAGACTGTTGCTGTGAGGTTTCTTTTTGTGGGGGGGGGGAGAGAAAGTAGACTGTTGCAGTGAGGTTTCTTTGTGTGGGGGAGAGACAGTAGACTGTTGCTGTGAGGTTTCTTTTTGTGTGTGTGGGGGGGGGAGAGAAAGTAGACTGTTGTGAGGTTTCTTTGTGTGGGGGAAAGATAGTAGACGTTTGCAGTGAGGTTCCTTTGTGTGGGGGAGAGAAAGTAGACTTGCTGTGAGGTTTCTTTGTGTAGGGAGAGAAAGTAGACTGTTGCTGTGAGGTTTTTTTGTGTGGGGGAAAGAAAGTAGACTTGCTGTGCGGTTTCTTTGTGTGGGGGAGAGAAAGTATACTGTTGCTGTGAGGTTTCTCTGTGTGGGGAAGAGAAAGTAGACTGTTGCTGTGAGGTTTCTTTGTGTGGGGGAGAGAAAGTAGACTGTTGCTGTGAGGTTTCTTTGTGTGGGGGAGAGAAAGTAGACTGTTGCAGTGAGGTTTCTTTGTGTGGGGGAGAGAAAGTAGACTGTTGCTGTGAGGTTTTTCTGTGGGGGAGAGAAAGTAGACTGTTGCAGTGAGGTTTCATTGTTTTAGATTCGGACCTTTCTGTCAGATATGACGGAGCTAGCCTATTATTACAGTATCTATTCTCTGTTATTTCACAATTATGGATAGCGTATACCAAACATAGCAACTTACATTGTGCTGACTTTAGGCAGAGGATCACATTGGGGAGAAGATTATTCATACTTATTCTAGGGTGAGGAAAAGCAACCTGAAAACAATGTTGTGGCAGGGCATACCAGGCATAGAGCCTTGTCCACTAGCTGGTCTAGGAGGGAAGCTCTGACTGGTAGAGAGACAGAGCATTGCTCTTCTAATCTGGCAGCTTCTGCAGCATGCTTTGTTCCAAACATATTGATGTGACCTTTTCTTTGGTGTAGACAAGGAAGGCTGAGAGAGTGGGTCAGTTGCTCATTAGATAACATAAAGTCTCTACAATAGTACCCAGGCTTTGTCGTATGGAGAGAAGGGATTTTATCCCTGACCTTAGCTGGTTGTGATTCCTAGGCCATTCTATATCATAATGTAATAGTTTGTCAGGAAAGACGAAAAGGTGTCAGTAAAAAATTTTATACCCCAATTCTTTTTCCAGTTCTTCACTTTCTCTACAAATTTTTAAAGCAGATAGGAGGCTGTTGGGGGATTTTCAGTGACCACCAGGAGAGTCACCAATAAACATTGGTTCTAAATATCTTTCATACATGTAGGCTGTTGGAGACTTGCTGATGACAACATTTAGCAATGTTAGCTATGCAATCTGCGGAGAGATATGAAACTTTGGAACAACTCACAAAGTCAGGCCCAGAAAGAGAGTGACTTCCCTTGCCATTCAACCCTGGTTGGGTCGTAGGGCCTGTCCTATGTTGTAAGGGGTGTCAGGCTTAGTGAGCATCCAGCAACACATCGTAGTGTAGTTGTTAGGACGTAGGCTGCAGTATCTTGTGGAAAGTAGGCTGAAGCTGTTGTGTAGAGGGGTTTGGGTTAGGGCCAGTTCTACATGTTTTGGGACTGTTAAAAGAGCTCACATTGTGGAATTTAAACCACACAAGATCGCTGTATTGCTTTTCCTCTGAGCGCCAAGTTTTAGCCCGATCCCCTCGTCACCCCTGGCTCCATCACTCTCACCAGACTGCGATGATGCCTTTGCTCTTCCAAATTGAATACGTGCTCCCTTAAGGCCTTGAGCACTTCTACCTTATCACACATCTGTATTCCACCAAGTTGTGCAGAGCCACTCAGTCCCAAAGGCAACAGTGGTAGAAAAGTGGTACAACAGCTGTACACTGTAGCCAAACATCATTGTAGAGGCAGCAAAGTTTTTTTTAAATGACCTAAATCTGACCTACTGTCAAATGCTAGGAGTCTCTGTGGTGTTTGCAGCTAGACGCCCGCCTGCAGATCGGAAGGTCGTAGGTTCACGTCCTAACGAAGCCAGATTTTATCTTAAAAAATGACCTCGACTCCTAGGTTGACCCAGCCTTGAGAGGGTACCAGGTTCAGTCATGGGAAATAAAAGCGGCCAGCATGATGCTGACCACATAAACCATCTTGTGCCGATTGGTCTAAAAAATATAGGTCTAGCCCTATATTCCCAATACGCCAGAAGGCGTGGAAAAGGATCCTCTTGCTGTCAAGGGCACGGCTATTCAACTGGCAGCTTTCGGGCTATATCTGGCCTGTGGAGGCATAGCATGTGGCTCTCAGATCATTGCTAGTTGTCTTATTGATTCTGGCCCATGTCGATCCCCATTTTGAAAATGTTGGCCCCCGAGTAAACTTATTTGAATAGCCCTGGTCTTGGGTTTACGCAAGCTGCTCTCATTAATGACAGCATGGCTGCATTTGTATGGTCAGTACTTTTTGTTTCTGTTATCGATAGAGACTTGCTGAATCCCGACCCCAACACTAACAAACTGGAGGTAAAGATGAAACAGGAAGGAGGTTTCCACGTTCCTGGTTTGATGACAGTGCCAGTCAATTCTCTGTCTGAGGTCAACAAGGTATGATCCTGTGTAACCTGTGTTCTTCTGCATTTCATCTACTAACAGGACACTGGCAATCAACCAACACTCAACCATAACCTCCCCGTGTGGGTTTCTGGGGCTCTTTGTGGGGAAAACAAGATTAGACCCACTGCCCACCCAAAAGCACTCAATGCGGAGAAGCAGATGGATCACTACAGTTTGGTGAGATTGATGCAGTTGGGGGTGACAAAAGGTTCTGGCAGAAGCTCAAGGCTCAGAGGAAAGGCAAGACGGACGTTTAATCAAAAGCTACTGGCACCATTAGTATCGGAACTCTTCGCTGGCTGCTGAAGATGGGGACGGAGCGCTTATGGGAATGCCCCATGTGCTGTGATGTCGGTTCTTGAAACAAATCAAATCAAATCACCCTAACTGTAAGCCACAGCACAGCATGCCAACCTAAAGGATGAACACAGAAGAAACACTTACAATTAAGCAGTAAATTCTGGATTCCGATGTTCATTATTTCTTAGATCTACATTATGACATTTATTTTTTGTGATTGCTGTTTTCTGTATTCTGATAATTATTTGTAAGTGATGACAAATATTTATATTTCATATTTATAGTGGTTATGCTTCTCGTCCTTGTTAGGATGAAATTTTTCGTTATTTGAAGCCCTACTCTGGCTCTTGCCAGGGGCCGTAATATAGCCCGGCCATAAATATTGCCTAATGGCTGAACGCGGTTTCTGGGACCTCTCCACGGTGGTCCTCACCCACATGGTGGCACATTGTGTCATCGGGTGTTTATCGCTTGTGTGATGTCCTGGTGGGGTAGAAAGTCAGTCAGTCACTCAGTTTATATTTTATATATCATTAAACGTCCCAATGTGGGATGCAATTTTTGTTATTTTGAAGCCCCACCCTCCCTTTTGCCGGGGGCCCTGAATATAGCCGGGACATAGATATGGCCTAGCCATAGATATGGCCTAATGGCTGAAAGGGATTTCTAGGGCCTCTCCACGGATGATCCTCATCCGCATGGTGGCACTTTGTGTCACCGGGTGTTTATCACTTGTGTGATGTCCTGGTGGGGTACAACAACCTACCTACCTTATGTTACAGTCCTATAATTCTCATCCCTGTGTAGGATTTTAAAGCCCCACCCTGGCTCTGGCCATAATTATGGTCTACTGGCTGAACGTGGTTTTCAGGACCTCTCCACGGGTGATCCCCATCCACATGGTGGCACTTCGAGCCAGCGGGTGTTTATTACTTGTGTGATGTCTTGGTGGGGCACAACTTACCTACCTTTATATTTCATATTGTTATACCCATCATCCCGACATACAAGATGTAATTTTTTTTTCAATTTCAAAGCCCCACCTCTGCTGTAGTCGGGGGCCCTAATATAAAATAACGGTCGAACGGGGTTTCTGGGACCTCTCCCTGGGTTATCCTCATCTGCATGGTGGCACTTTCTGTCACTGGGCGTTTATCGCTTGGTGGGATTGAATCTCATTCATTCATTTATATTATGATTTTTTTTCAGGTGATGGCTAGTGTTCATAATCTTATATTTATTTTTAAGTAATGACTCATATTTAAATTCAAAGCAATGTTTCCCCGATGTGAATTTGAACAAAGAAGACACAAACAATAGACTGCACAATTTATTGCCTGGCATATTTCGCTGTATCTCGTCAGGTGCATACTACAGTAACAAGTGAATAAATGAAGCAAATAGCTGAATCCTAAAAACTGAAACACAAATTCGAGTACATTCTACACTGTCTGTTTCACCAAGGTAACCTTAAGGAAACTACCATTTCTTTCTGCCTACAGAGATCCGGTTTTAACCGGTGGATCGCGGAAGCTTCCGCGTATCTGAGTAATCTACGGTTGGCCGATTTGTAAATAATTCGAAATGCATCATCCCTGTTAATGATGTGCCCGGAATTTAGAATGTGGCACGCAATTGCTGATGATGGATTTTGTCGACCAGTCACCTGATTCGTTGTTGTTGAGGTGTTAGTGTTTTGCATTGCTTTTACCAACCATAGTGGAATATGTTCAGCAACCCTTTTCTCCAGTCGTCGATCGGTTCTGCCCACATATGCAGCGTTACAGGTGCATTTAAATTGGTATAAACAGTTAGATCTGGCGTACGTCGAGACTGGTTCTTTTACAGGTGGCGTAGGAATCGTGGTGGTTTTGAATCTCATAACGGGCATGGCTGCGTAAAAGGTTTGACAGACTGCTGTTTTGAGTCGGTCATATACACGTTGCATGACGTCATCTCCCCGAAACGTTAGATGTATATAAACTTGTTTTTTTGGCACCGACATTTCTAAGGTAACTGGTTTAGGTGGCTGGCAATGGCACTTAATAAAACCACCTGGATATCCATTAGAAAGCAGTGTTTGTTTAATCGTTTCGAATTCAGCTTGTAGAGTTTCGCTGGAACAAATCTTTCTAGCACGGTGTTCCAGCGAAACTCTACAAGCTGAATTCGAAACGATTAAACAAACACTGCTTTCTAATGGATATCCAGGTGGTTTTATTAAGTGCCATTGCCAGCCACCTAAACCAGTTACCTTAGAAATGTCGGTGCCAAAAAAAACAAGTTTATATACATCTAACGTTTCGGGGAGATGACGTCATGCAACGTGTATATGACCGACTCAAAACAGCAGTCGGTCAAACCTTTTACGCAGCCATGCCCGTTATGAGATTCAAAACCACCACGATTCCTACGCCACCTGTAAAAGAACCAGTCTCGACGTACGCCAGATCTAACTGTTTATACCAATTTAAATGCACCTGTAACGCTGCATATGTGGGCAAAACCGATCGACGACCGGAGAAAAGGGTTGCTGAACATATTCCACTATGGTTGGTAAAAGCAATGCAAAACACTAACACCTCAACAACAACGAATCAGGTGACTGGTCGACAAAATCCATCAGCAATTGCGTGCCACATTCTAAATTCCGGGCACATCATTAACAGGGATGATGCATTTCGAATTATTTACAAATCGGCCAACCGTAGATTACTCAGATACGCGGAAGCTTCCGCGATCCACCGGTTAAAACCGGATCTCTGTAGGCAGAAAGAAATGGTAGTTTCCTTAAGGTTACCTTGGTGAAACAGACAGTGTAGAATGTACTCGAATTTGTGTTTCAGTTTTTAGGATTCAGCTATTTGCTTCATTTATTCACTTGTTACTGTAGTATGCACCTGACGAGATACAGCGAAATATGCCAGGCAATAAATTGTGCAGTCTATTGTTTGTGTCTTCTTTGTTCAAATTCTTTTTTAAATGCTTATTTTTTTTTAAAAATGATAACTAATTTCTGTATTCTGATATTTATTTTTCTTCTTTAAGTGGTGTGAAGTGTATGTATTGTGATATTCTTTTTTCTTAAGTGGTATGTAATTTCTGTGTTTTGATATTTATTTTTCAATCACTACCTGACGTCAGATTATTGAGACAGGCCGTCAGAACAGAGCAACTGCCTCAACCAGCATGAATGAAAGGTCGTCACGGTCACATAGTTTATTATGCGTCCATGTCACCGGGGTCAATGTTCTAACTGGTAACAAAACTTTTGGTAAGTATTTTGTTACCTTTGTTCATTAGTGGACTTAAGGTTACCACTGAGCCCAACTGTCTTCAGGTTTATGTACTTTTGAACAGTAAGGAAAAAGACAAAGAAAAAAAAAAAGAAAAAAATCGCCCTATTCCACATCCCTTAGGCATGGCGGGTATACAGGGCTAGACTGTATTTTGTATGGACCTATTGATACTCAGTGGGGGATGTGGTTAGCATCACGCTGGTTGCCTTTACTTGCCAGGACTTTACCTGGTACCCATTTTAGGCTGAACCGACCTGGGAGCCAAGGTCGTTTTTGATGACAAAAAACACTGGCTTGACGCGGATTTGAACCTACGTTTGGGCCCCACAAATGAGCTATAGCTGCCACACTGCAGCAGCTGTTCTTCAAATTTATCGTTCTCTGTCTTTAAATTAATTGTTACTGAGTTCAGAACTGACATCGCTGCACTCGAGACACTCTCAAATTTGCTCGGCCTCCATCTCCACCAGCTAGCAGAGAGTTCCAGTTCCAGTGGTACTTCCATTAGCAGTTTGATCATGTGTCCGTCTGCTTGTGTAACAAGTCGGCCAGATCCCCTGGTCACACCCTGTTGCATCACTCTCTCCACACTTCAACCCTTTTGCTGCTGCGCCCTCTGCCAGCCAATGTAACCACTGTGCTGAGCCAGGCGAGCGCTAATCTTTCCTGATGTGCTGAATACCTTTTTTCACTCCAAAAGCAGAAGAAGTGCTTGCGGTGCGGGGTAAAAATTGTACACCTAAAATAAAAAATCTTTAAAGGCGTATGGTTGACCTTTGCGCTGACAAGTAAGACGCGCTATGGCTACGCCATGGAAACTCATTAACAAAAAAAACAAAAACAAAAAAAACACTACAAACTTACAAAGCAAACACAAAACACTTTAGTAAGCAAATAAATGGTTTTTATTATTATTAATAATATTTTTGTGTGTGAAATATTTCAAAACAAGGTGCGACACACTATGCCAAATCACATTCCTTGCACATGAATCTGGTTTCCCGTCGTTTTTTGCTTTTTGCGCATACCACACACTTTCTTGTAGGCAATTTCTGCTGTGATGTTTCGGACTCTATTATTGAAGGGAAATGCCTTTGTACCAAACGAAGTGGCAGAGCTTCAGTTTTTTGTCCTCCTACACTTGTCCTTTTTTCCTTGCAATATTTCTGTAGAATTTCTCTTACTAACTTTAAGTGAAATTCGGCAACAGGAGCGTTTTCACCCACAAATGCACAGTACACCAACCACGCTTCACAAAGAAACTTGATAACAAGTAACGCATCCAAATCCACCTGAACGCAAGTGACAGGATGTTTAATTAATTAATCATTTGGTGATCTGTTGCCAAAAGTGCTAAGAGCTTAAAATTTAAAAGAAAAAAAATTGCATGCAGGGGTTGAACGCAGAACCTCTCGATTGTGAGGCAAACGTGATACCAACTACACTAGAAATTCATATGTAAATTGGAACTGAAAATAGGACCAGTATTGTTCACTTTGATAGACAAACACATTTTTGTCAGTTGTGTGGTATATTAGAAACATTAACAATAATATTAATCATCATGTCAGTACGTGGCCATATCTTCATTTTGATTATTGGGGACCCATTTCAAATCCAGTCAATGTAGATAGCTGGGTCATATGGTCAGTCTTGCTCATGGCCAGAAGTACAAGTGTCCGCTGGCGTGCCGCGAAGATAACCCAGCTCATATAACACACGTTTCAAAGTGATCCTTACTATTACTCATTGAAAGAAACTCCATTAATTCTTCATTAACTTGAATTACCTATTTTCTTGTTATTTTGTATTTTTAAAAAAAACAGTGGACTAACACAAACCAGAAATATATGGTAAAATGCTTTAATGGTAACAAAGCAACAGGATAACGTGAAATGCATCTAAATTACACATAAACGAACGTAATATGTTTTTTCATTGTATGTAAATGTGTCAGTTTGATCAGATTTAGGTAATGTATGTTGCCATTTCACCCCCGAGAATTACGGCTCTTAGCAATCTGTAAGAAAAGTCGAAGACGAGTTAGCTCGTCCTTAGCAGTGAGGGCACAGAAAACGGAAGACGAGTTAGCTCGTCCTTAGCAGTCTACCGGGCAGACGAGTTATCTCGTCCCATATCAGTGAAAGGGTTAATGACCTAGTTGCACTTCCACATTGTTCATCTTTTTCCAGAAGGCTTTGACCGTGCCTACCTTGTCATACATAAATTAACCACCTGTTGTGCAGAGCTTGCCAATCTGTCTGCCTGTTCATTTCCCACACACACCTGCATTCCCAGGAGAAAGAACTCCACAAAACACTGACTACTGTCTTGATATTTGATGGTATAAAATGCACAGGGGGAATCATACACCAGTGTAGATAGAAGTGCTGTAAGTAAGGGTTCCTTTTCCTTGCCTTTAGGCATATAGGGCTAGACCTATATTTATATAGACCAGTCGGCACAAAATGGGTGATGCATGGGCCGCCTTTACTTCCCAGGACTGCACCCGGTACCCACTCAAGGCTGTGTCGACCTGGGAGTCAAGGTAATTTTAGAAGTGATGTAACAGTTATATATATTTTCACAGTCCTCTTCATGCAGGGGTTAAATTTCCAGGAAGGCAGTTTAGAGAATGACTTTTCTTGTGGTTTTCAGCAACCAAACAAGAGGTGCACTGTGGAAGAAGTTGAGGCTTCATCATATAATATTTCTGAAGACAGCAGAGATGCTCACACAACACTTAATTTTAAAACAATTTTGTTCTTAAACTTGCAGTAAAAAATAGAAGTGATTAATGACATGACATTGAGATGATATCTGTAATAAACTACAGTTAATTTTGGTGTGTGATTTTTCAGGACGACTAAATCTTGTGGATCTGGCAGGCTCAGAGAGAGTGAGCAGGTCTCAGGCTGACGGAGCTCGACTGAAGGAAGCCCAGAATATCAACAAGTTAGAGTTTTTTCCCCTTCTGTAAATGGTTTCTGCATATTAGTAAAAAGGGGAAAAAATCCCTTTTACGCCTTAGGCGCATTGGGCGTATGGGAAGATCATTCCATATTTCTACAGACCAATCGGCACTAGATGGGTAATGTGGTCAGCATTACGCCAGCGTATCTGCATATTAAATACTATCAGTTGTCAACATGAAGTGTAGGTAAACTTTAGGAAATTTCTTTTTTCTTTTTTTTTCTTTTTCTTCTTTGTTATCTCTCCACAGTCTTCTGGGTCTGCCTCATGGTCTACAACCATTCAGCTCCCATGTGTAGACAGTTTTTACCTCTCTGTCATCTGGCATTCTCTCAGTATGCCCCAACAATTTCAGTTTATCAGCCCGCATGATGCCAGCGATCAGTGGTTATTCCAACAAATTATAAAGTTCATTGTTGCTTCTCACTTTCCATTCCCCACTGTCAGCAACTTTGATAGATTCAAAGATTCGTCATAAGACTCTGTTTTCAACACTTTCTAATAAAGCTTAGTCTCTTTCAGAGCCATATAAGACAACAGCTCTTATTGTTTACCCAGCACATGGCCAACTTTTACTAATCCTTGCAATTATACCCAAATGCAAGGCAAGTAGTTAACCAGATGACAACAGGTACCATCAGTATGGAGACTCTTCGTTGCTGGAGCTAAAGAATTTGTGCTTTGTGCAATGCTGTCTGCAGGCAGCTAGCCATAAGGGATAAAACCCAGTACAATGATGCCAATCCTCTTAACTTTAACTACTTCTTCTTCACCGGCTCTGAACTCCTGCGGAAAATTGTGGTTGTCTGTCTATTTTTGGACTTTGGTCTTGTTCCAGAACTTGTGTGCATATCCGTTTTTTAGATCTGGCTTATTTGTATGCAGACTGTTGGTTCCTCACCTCTTAGACAGATGAACTCGACTTTGAAGGAAACACCCCTGTTTAGTCTCCCTGTGTGACTCCCTCCCCCGCTGGGGCCCTGGAATCCACCACACAGAGATGACTTAAACTTTTGACTGCCGTAAAACTTTGATTAACCCCTTCACCATCCGAACCAGTGCTGTGAGGGATAACAGAAATATCCTAATACATACGTACAGTAACAAGATTTCACTGCAAGCTTATTAAATAAAATCCTGTAAAAGTAAATAATATATAAATATTGTATTTAATTTTTCAAAACGATCAATATAAACTTCAGTATAAGAGTAGCAACTTACAGAAATGTATTATAATACAAAAAAACCTACATTACTTAAAAATAATATGTCATCTCTTTTTGTGTTTTTGAGGTGTTTGTTTGTTTAAACTCACGCATTTCTTAGGGAGCGATGATGGATAACAGAAGTTTTAAAAAAAAAACAGTAAAAATCTCTTTTCACACCTTTAGGCGCATTGGGTATATGGGAAGAGCACTCATATTTTTACAGACCAATCGGCACTAGTTGGGTAATGTGGTAAGCATTATGCCAGCCTTCTTTACTTTCCCAGGACAGACATCCTGGTACCAATTTTAGGCTGTGTTGACCTGCGACTCCCCACACCATGATTAAAATACACGCACCAGCTGTAGGTTTCGACTGCAGTACGTTGGAATTACGAGTCGGACTCGCAGCGCCTAAGCCACGGATAACAAAAACAACGGTTAAACGAGTGATGGTTAATTGAAGTTTTACTGTAAGTAAATTTTTATTTGTATTCATCACCAGGTCACTGTCGAGTTTAGGTGATGTCATCAACGCTCTCAAGAACAAGCACGCTCATGTGCCGTACCGGAACTCCAAGCTGACCTACTTGCTGCAGGAGTCATTGGGTTAGTGTTTGAATGTCAAATAGTACAGTTAAGTGAAAGTAAGTAAAGGATGACAGAATTCTCCCCCGAAATGGCTGATAGCCAGTTGACTTCCCAAGTTATTTGTTTCCAGCTAGGTTTAGCTGATGCCAATTCCCCACTTCTGGAGTAGGAGTACAAAGGTTTCATTGCCCAGCTTGTGAGTTGAGTGCTCAGTGTGACACTGTGAGCTGTGGATTTTTTCTGTTATGTGTTATTTACTATAAAAGGTGGGTGGCCGATTCTGTTCAGAATGGTGTGTACTTTTGCGGATTCAATACTGGCTCCTGATCATTTGCATCAACAGTGAGCTGCACTTCTGGGGTGGGACCATTAGCGTTGGCACTTCTGACAGATGCCGTATGCATTTTTACTTTGTGTATGCAAGCTTCAAGTTTTTGCTGGGACCGAAATATTATTCACTAGTTTCCCATGTGAGTTGCAGGACCCCATTTGGGTAAAAAACAAGAATAGACCTGCTGCCTGTCCAGAAAGCATGCCATAAGAGTCCTGGGAGCTTCCTTTAAATTCTGAGTACACCTGCCTGAGAGGCAAGGAACCAACAGTCTGCATACAAATGAGTCAGACCTGTGAAACTGATGTGGATGCAACACTCATTTTCTGGAAAAAGACTATAGAGTCCAGAAGCAGTCGAACAACCAGAACTTTCAGCCAGAGTTTGCAGCCGGTGAATGCGATGAAGAAGATTCACTAGTTTTCAGGTGGGACACTAGAGGGCACAATGTGTGGTTTCCGCTGGCACAGAAGCAGAGCAGTATTATGGGGCTGACCTGTCTGCAGTGATATCAGAACCTCAACTAATGACCAAGCAAAGGTCATCTGCATCTGTGGCTTAGGCACTGCCAATGTGCTTCGTAATTTGGAAGTAGCTGGCTCAGTTTCATCTGCAGGTATTGTGGCAGCAGTCCACTTTACCTTGATTTCAACAATGTGTGGTCGCTAGCCATTCAGAAAGCAATGGCAAACCACTTAGCAGGTGGCCAGACATTCTGTTAAGAGAGATCAAACCATGAGATAGAATTTAGTTCTTTTTGACTTTAATCAGAGAAATGGATTGTATCGTCTAGAGTTACTGAAAGTTTATCTGTTGTTTACAAAAGCTCTGTGAGTGATCCATGCCAAATATAAAGACTTGTCTCATGTCACCACAATGAAACAGTAAACTGAGTAATAGTTTGAGTTTGTCTAGTTTTGTTGACAGGTACTGGTGTGAAATTTGAATCTAGTTCAGAAAAACAATCAGAGGCTGACCGAAAACATAACACCATCTCACTGTTTTGAACATTGAACAAATGTAGGGTGATGAGATTATTTTAAGATGGTTTACATCAGTGCTTCCCAAACTGTGCGACCTGGGGAGCCGCGACCTCTTCGCAGGGTTGCCGCAAAATATTGTACAAGCTTAATAATTAATTTAACCGAGACAGGAATAGTCATACTTTACTTAGGGCGCGGTGGGAAAAACTTTATTGAAAAAAGGTGCCGCAACCAAGACAAGTTTGGGAAACACTGGTTTACATAATAAAGATTATTGTAGGAATATTTGGAAATTCGTTCTAGAGAAATATTTAAAAATGTGTTCTGTAGACATATTATCAGGCTTGTTGTTACCCTAATGGGTGCCAGAACTTTCACACACCTTGAGAAAAAGTTTTAGAGGGGGGCTAAACTTCCCCCCTTCCCTCCACTACCCTTATTTCCCCTGACATGAAACTTACTGAAAACCTATAACAGTGGTTCTCAACCTGTGGGTCATGACCCTTTTGGGGGTTGGTCAAACAACCCCTTCACAGAAGTCGCATAAGACCATCAAAAATCACACATCCACTGAAGTTATGAAGTAGCAATGAAAATAATTGCATAGTTTCGGGGGAGGGGGGTCACCGCAACATGAGGGACTTTATTAAAGGGTCACGCCATTTGGAAGGTTGAGAACCAGTGCTCTGTAACAAGTATAGAAATGCTCTTTTTAAGTATTTCTTGATACATGTTATACTGCTTTGGATATATTGTTACATTTATTTGCCATGCAGCATTATCATTCCATACTTAAATAAGTCATGAGGGCTGAGTGGTCTCGAGGTATAGTGTCCACCTAGAGTGCTGGAGGTCCCGGGTTCAAGCCCCGGTGAAGGCTGGGATTTTTTCACGCAGGAGTTCTTGTAATTTCCTTTGGTCTCTGAGTAGTAAGACCAGACACCCGTGTGTATTCATGCACACGTAAAAAAAATCTCTTTGGCAGTTAGAAATCGAAAAGAGTAGCCTAACGGCGTTGCTCGGGCAAAATGTGGAGTTTAAAATCTACCCATAGTATTTTAGGATCCTCGCCGGTGCTACTGAATTCGAGCACTGCGCTGAGATTCTTTAGACTCAGGCTTGAGTTAGAAGTAGAACGGAGCACTTATGGGTTACACCTGTGTGCCATGATGTTGATCCGTCGAATATACATAAACATGAGTCATAGGCACATTGACGGCAACTTTTTGACCCCCCTTCCCTGAATTACTCAAGCAAAATATTGGTGTTTTTTTTGTGGCCTCATTCTCTATTGAAATTTTTCAGGTGGGGACAGCAAGACTCTAATGATCCTTCAGGTTTCACCGGGGGAAGAAAACGTCAGTGAAAGCATCTGTACCCTCACTTTTGGTCAGAGAGTTCGATCGGCAGAGTTGGGACCTGCCAAAAAGAAAACTGAGGTTTGAAGAGTCTTTCACTCTCATGTTGTTGTTAGAAGGAGGAGTGAGTTCATGTAGTTAGTTCTGTTGGTTCTGTTAGTGTTTGTTATATGTTCACCGGTACTAATTGTTGCTTGTACCAGTGTTTGTTATATGTTTACCAGTTCTAATTGTTGATTTTATCAGTGTTTGTTATATGGTTACCAGTACTTATTGTTGATTTTATCAGTGTTTGTTATATGGTTACCAGTACTTATTGTTGATTTTATCAGTGTTTGTTATATGTTTACCAGTACTGATTGTTGATTTTATCAGTGTTTGTTATATGGTTACCAGTACTAATTGTTGATTTTATCAGTGTTTGTTATATGGTTACCAGTACTTATTGTTGATTTTATCAGTGTTTGTTATATGGTTACCAGTACTAATTGTTGATTTTATCAGTGTTTGTTATATGGTTACCAGTACTAATTGTTGATTTTATCTGTGTTTGTTATATGGTTACCAGTACTTATTGTTGATTTTATCAGTGTTTGTTATATGGTTACCAGTACTCATTGTTGATTTTATCAGTGTTTGTTATATGTTTACCAGTACTGATTGTTGATTTTATCAGTGTTTGTTATATGGTTACCAGTACTTATTGTTGATTTTATCAGTTTGTATATGTTTACCAGTACTGATTGTTGATTTTATAAGTGTTTGTTATATGGTTACCAGTACTTATTGTTGATTTTATCAGTTTGTATATGGTTACCAGTACTGATTGTTGATTTTATCAGTGTTTGTTATATGGTTACCAGTACTAATTGTTGATTTTATCAGTGTTTGTTATATGGTTACCAGTACTAATTGTTGATTTTATCAGTGTTTGTTATATGGTTACCAGTACTTATTGTTGATTTTATCAGTGTTTGTTATATGGTTACCAGTACTAATTGTTGATTTTATCAGTGTTTGTTATATGGTTACCAGTACTAATTGTTGATTTTATCAGTGTTTGTTATATGGTTACCAGTACTTATTGTTGATTTTATCTGTGTTTGTTATATGGTTACCAGTACTAATTGTTGATTTTATCAGTGTTTGTTATATGGTTACCAGTACTTATTGTTGATTTTATCAGTTTGTATATGTTTACCAGTACTGATTGTTGATTTTATCAGTGTTTGTTATATGGTTACCAGTACTAATTGTTGCTTGTACCAGTGTTTGTTATATGTTTACCAGTACTGATTGTTGATTTTATCAGTGTTTGTTATATGGTTACCAGTACTTATTGTTGATTTTATCAGTGTTTGTTATATGGTTACCAGTACTTATTGTTGATTTTATTGGTGTTTGTTATATGGTTACCAGTACTTATTGTTGATTTTATTGGTGTTTGTTATATGGTTACTGACCCACTGCCTACCCAAATGCTTGTCATAAGAGTCGACTAATTGGGAGCTTTCTTCAAAGTTGGAGTACATCTGCCTGAGAGGCAAGGAACCAGCAGTCTGCATACAGATTAGTCAGATCTGTCAAACGGATGCACATGCAACACTCAAGTTCTGGAACAGGACTGCTGTACAGAAGTGGACGAACAAACAGAACTTTCCGCCAGAGTTACAGCTGGTGAACGCAAAGAACGAAGAAGAAGCTACGATATGCAATCCCAACAACAAGTCTATTTATCAGATGATGTTAAAGTACGTATATGTTCTTTGGGTAGATTATGTATACATGATCTCTGTGTTGTCTTGCAGGGAACACCAACTGCTGCACGTTCAGCTGAGTCTGCTAACTCTCCTATGAGTGGAACTCCTTTACTGAAAACACCAAATCCAACAAAAGCATCTCCTATGCCTGTAAAACTTGGGCAGAGGCTAAAGCAGTGATAAAGTACCACGGCTGTCAGTTGATGTCTGCTCCCTCAAACAGTGACAGGTTAACCTAGTTACACATCGAACAGCTGATTCTAGTTACACATCAAAAATCATAGTTATACATCGAACAGCTGATTCTAGTTACATATCAAACAGTTCATTCTAGTTACACATTGAACATCCTAGTTACGCATGGAACAGTTTATCCTAGTTACACATCGAACAGTTCATCTTACTTACACATCGAATAGTTCATCCAAGTTACACATTGAACACATCCTAGTTATACATTGAACACATCCTAGTTACCAATCAAGCATCCTAGTTACACATGGAATATTGTAGTTACACATCCAACATCCTAGTTACACATCCAACATCCTATTACACATCCAACATCCTAGTTACACATGGAACAGTTCACTCCAAAAGAGATTGGATCCTCTCTTGTATAAATTGCCCAAAAGTTTTTCCTAGTTACATATTGAACATCCTAGTTACACATCGAACACATCCTAGTTACATATTGAACATCGTAGTTACCAATCAGACATCCTATTTACACACCGAACATCGTAGTTACACTTCCAACATCCTGTTACACATGGAACAGTTCAGTCCAAAAGTGACTGGCTCCCCTCTTGTATGAATCGCCCAATAGTTTATCCTAGTTACACATTGAACATCCTAGTTACCAATCAGACATCCTAGTTACACACCGAACATCATAGTTACACATCCAACATCCTAGTTACATATGAAACAGTTCAGTCCAAAAGTGACTGGCTTCCCTCTTGCATGAATCACCTCAGGATGTGGCAACACCGTGTTTATATTTATTCACCCTGTTTTACTGGCCTCATGCGGAGTAATTTTGTTGTTATTGCTTCACCCAGTTTTGCTCTAGGTTGCTGATTCACTTTCCCCATTTAACTCTTTCACTGTCAAGCAGGTGTTACTTTAATCTTTTTATTCCATGATTGCTAGAAGAAAAATTGGGCAGGAACCAATAGCAATTGTCAGGAAAATTCTTTAAAAGAAAAAACAAAATTATCACACACAAAAAAATTGTGATGCAAAATTTATGATTCCACATTTACAAGTTTTTACCTTTAAATATATAAAGTGGTAATCAATGAACATGAAAAGAGTCAAAACAATAAATGGAGTATATTCTCGAGGGTGTTAAAAAAAATATTTATTGGTTGACTCTTCTCGTGACGCCTTGACCTCTATCAGTAAGGCTTACCAGAAAATTTGACATCAGCTTGGCTTTCAAATAGCCAGTGAGGTCATAAGGAAACCCTTCTTAATGCTTTTTTTTTTTAAGGTTTTGCATAGTCTTCTTCTTTGATCCTTCTGTCAGAAAATATATATATCACTAGACCAGTAGCCTTTATGAAAGCTATCGTGCAGTCCAGATCTTCTCGTGCACCATATAGTTTTGTCTTCATTGTGGTTGATACATGGTCATATCCTCGCCTATTAAGCACTATGTGGGTGCACATACAACCAATGGAATTAGGTCATTTATAAAATGTCGCCGTCGTCACGGCATCTCGGAAAATCTCTCTTTCTCTAGCCACTTCTCCAGCCCTAAGTGCTTTCATAACCAGTGTGCATATTCAATGTCTTGTATCCACCTTGGCATAGGTCTGCTTCTGCTTTGTATTCCAGAAACTGTGCCCTCCATCACCATTCTCTCCAGGCAACCAAAATACCTCTACTTTTTGGATAAGATGCTGTTTATGAGCCAATTCTCCTCTGCTCAAATCATGTAGGATATGGGTGTTTTAGCCTTCCAAGGCAGCCGCATTCAGTAGCATTTCTGCAGCAGTCTCAGCTGCTTGTACTTGTTCTGACCTCCATCTGCATGTTTGTACACTGATAATTTTCTATGCCACTGTTGGTGGCCCACAGTCACCTGGGTTCCGCAGAATAAATTTATGGGGTCCGTGATCATTTATCCAAAGACAACAACACTTAAACTTTAAATTGCAACCCTTTGTTGCACTTCTATTATTTATAAATTATATAAAGTACTTCAGAATGACTGTTAACAACTTTGGTTTCTGTGGCAGAGCTTAACAAAATAAGTGGGGGTCTGCGTGTCTAAACTAACTGGAAAGCCTTGTTCTGTACCCTGACAAAGATCTGTCAATAATCTTCTCTCATTGTTACCATTTTCTCCTTTTTTTTAAAATAAATTTTACTGGTTGTTGAAATGTTCCAATTTTGTTTTTCTTGTTATGACCAAAAGGATGACTGCCTCTTTCTCACATTTATGATAAGTTGTGTTTGCCTCTTAAACTTTCAAAACATCTAGATTGCTGGCCCAGTTAATGTTTAGAATTCTTCAGGGAAACATGCTTGTCTGTGACGCTTGTTTGCCAGTTGTCCAGGATTCCCTTCCATATTTCTTTTAAAAATTATTCTGAGTGAAGAACAAGAAATTATTTCTTACCGCCAGAGTTTTATTGCATAAGATGTTTTGTTACAAAATGCAGTTTTTACCTGTCCAATATCTTTAACTCTGTGATAAATCTTCTATCTGATGTTATCCATGTTCCCAGAACTTTGAACTTTTGTAATTGCCTCAGATTAATGCTGTTGATTCCAACTGTACATTGGCACTATTATACATTACTCATATTTATATTTTGTTTGCATTATTACATAGAAAACTGTTTTTAAACTTTACATTTTCATGTGAATATTTCCAGCATGTAAGTATCCAAAGTTATTGCCCTTATTTGAGAAAGCTACGTCGGATCTGCATGTGTACTCTGAAGGAAACATTGATCCATTCTATTGCCCGGCTCTCTAGCGAAGTTGGTTAAACCTGACTTTCGCTGCGGCCGGGTGACGAACTCCTTGTGGTCCGGGTTCACTCCCGGGGGTAGGCAGAAAAGCCACATTTCTCCAGATTAACGGTACCTATAATGGAATCAATGCCGAAGGGTTACGATATCCATAGTACCGAGCCAAAGGGTTTACAACTCATGGTTTCTGGATACGTTAAAAAAAAAAAAAAAATTCCATTCTATGCTGGCCAGACCCCTCTGCAGACTGTTTGTTTCTTGCCTATCAGGCAGATACACTCTGACTTTGAAACAAACATGGTTTGGTTTGAACAATGGATCAACATCATGGCACAAGGGTAGTAATCCATAAGTGCTCAGTTCAACTTCTAAATCAAGCCTGAGTCGAAAGAATCTCTGCACAGAGCATGAACTCTGTAGCACTGGCGAGGTTCCTTAACTGCTTTGTGTAGGTTTTTAACTCCCAATTTTTTGTGCCTGGGCACTATTCTTTTTTATTTTCAACTGCCAAGGGATTTGAACTGGGGACCTCCAGCACTTGAGGCAGACACCATACCTCAAAACCACTCAGCCCCTATGGATTCTATCTATGCTGACAAGGCCCCATAGAAGCCGGTGGAGAAGTGGAGGCAGATCTTGACCAGTATGTGCCCTGGTTCTAGTGCACCACCACACGTGGTTCAGCACTTGTGCATCCCAGGCAGAAGCTGACAACCTAGCCTAGAGTCTAGCAAAGAATTATTAGGACAAAAACATTGAAGTGTTACAAAAGCATTCTGTTAACACAGACTGGTTTGTGTTGCTGTAGACCATTTGTGTCTGGACAATAGGTTGCTGTAGACCGTTTGTGTCTGGACAATAGGTTGCTGTAGACCATTTGTGTCTGGACAATAGGTTGCTGTAGACCATTTGTGTCTGGACAATAGGTTGCTGTACACTTTTTGTGTCTGGACAATAGGTTGCTGTAGACCATTTGTGTCTGGACAATAGGTTGCTGTAGACCATTTGTGTCTGGACAATAGGTTGCTGTAGACCATTTGTGTCTGGACAATAGGTTGCTGTACACTTTTTGTCTCTGGACAATAAGTTGGCTAGACCAGTTTGGGTCTGGACAATAAGTTGGCTAGACCAGTTTGGGTCTGGACAATAAGTTGGCTAGACCAGTTTGGGTCTGGACAATAAGTTGGCTAGACCAGTTTGGGTCTGGACAGTAAGTTGGCTAGACCAGTTTGTGTCTGGACAGTAAGTTGGCTAGACCAGTTTGGGTCTGGACAATAAGTTGGCTAGACCAGTTTGGGTCTGGACAATAAGTTGGCTAGACCAGTTTGTGTCTGGACAATAAGTTGGCTAGACCAGTTTGGGTCTGGACAATAAGTTGGCTAGACCATGGCTTTTCAACTAAGTTTACTCAGGGACCAAAATTGTGAATATAGGGATTATCGGAGGCCAGAGCCTCAGCATAGACAGATTATTAATGCAATACAACTGGTAAGATCAGTGGGCCACTTGCTAAGCCTTCGCGGGCGGGCCACGGGCTGCCATTTCAATAGCCCTGATGTAGAATGTTTGGGTATGGACAGTAAGTTGATGTAGACCAGTTGCGATCTTGACAAAAACTTTGCATCTGAACAATAAGCAGATGCATACCATTTTGTGTGACAATAATATGTTGACATTCAGTGATTTGTCTGGACAATACGTTGACACAAACTAATTTGTGTCCAGGCATTAAGTTGATGGCACAATTTTTGTCTGAACAATAAATTGAAAATAATCACTTTGTGTCTAGATAATAATTTGACACAGGCCATTTATGTCTAGACAATAAATTGACATAGGCCAATTTGTGTCTAGACAATAAACTGATATAGACCAATTTGTGTCTAGACAATAAACTGATATAGACCAATTTGTGTCTAGACAATAAACTGATATAGACTAGTTGTGTGTAGACAATAATTTGACGTAGACATTTGTGTTGGAGAATAAGATAAGGAACAGGTTTTTAACAATTTTGTTGGGGGGTGGGGGGAAGCAATTAGGGAATGTAAATGAGCTCATGTGTAATAGATTTTGTTGACAAGGGCCCCAGCTTTTGCCTGTTGAATAAAATCCCTGAATAAGCTGGAGCTGTTGTTAATCTGTGTGTGGATGTGGGCTTATATTAGAGCAGTTTGATGCGTGCATGGT